AATTTGTAAACTTGTGCACTTTATTCCAGACTATGTTGTTTGCGTTTTGAACCTTGTATGAGGATTTATGTACTCGAGAGCATGAGGATCTGAATCCTCATCCATAAAACATAACTTCACTTTCCCTCTTCCTCAGGTTTATCAGTCATATTACCTATTATGCGAATTCAATATAAGGTTAATATGTTACATGAAGGAAGAAAATGGGAACTAGCTCAATCAGAATATTCTGCTATCCAGATTACTCAGCCCACTCCTGCATTCAAGGCCCACTATGTGTACATCAATCGGCTCCAAACATGAGATGCGTATGGTGACTTGTTAAATTCCTGTGAAAAAAAAAAAAAGGTTCACTCTCTGAACAACTGGGTGACCTTGCAGGTCCTTTCTCAGATAAAACTCTCTTGCTGTTTTCTTTCGATGACTGCTGTTTCCTGTTAGTTATTTCACAGGAATTTACAAGTCACCACAAACATTCTGATTTGGAGCCGAGTTGATGTCATGTGGCCTTGAATGCAGGGTGGGCTGAGTAATGCTGGGCAGAATTCTTTGAGTAGTTACCATTTTCTCTTCCTTCATGTAACATATAACCTTTATTGAATTCGCATAATAAGGTAATATGACTGATAACTGTAGGAAGAGGGAAAGTGAAGTTATGTTTTTATGGATGAGGAGAGTTTAGATCCCTCATGCTCTCGAGTACATAAATCCTCATACAAAGGTCAAAACCAAACAACATAGTCTGAATAAAAGTGCAAGTTTAACAAATTTAATGGAATTCGGTTGACAATAATTTTACAAAGTTACAAATATGGTATTAAAAACATAAGGATTCATCATGTGAGGACAATGAATATTTATACCAAATTTCATGTCAATCAGGCATTGGTATTTACCTCACGAAATGCCAGGAGGTGACCGAAGTGATTAGGAATCTTACTCATGGTATCATTATTTTTCTAACACTCAAATCTCAGTTGAAATGACTAAGACCCATGTGGCATAGTCAAAGCCTAATTGTATAACATTACAGGGCAGGGCAATAAACGTGTGCATGTGTGTGTTTGTGTCCCAACCCTTTGCATCCTGCAAATCTACTATAAAATTCTGATGCATCCTTTAACCCAGAGAGACATAGAGCTACATTAGAGCTGCATTACTGTTATATCATCATTGTAGCAACATATTTCCCTTTTCTCCCACCTCAAACATCGAGCTGTGGTCCAGCTTATAAGTGTAAAGACTTTATCTGCCAGACTATTAATGAAAACTATTTTTTTCCTTTTTCTTTTTCTTTTACCAGCTCTACATTTGTTTATCATGCCAGGGGCAGAGTTGTACTTGGTGTGCTTCATGAGAATGTTTCTTTTAAGACCAAAAACCAAATAAGCATTGATTGTGTTTTGAGCAAGGGGGGTTGATTGATGCTGAAATCGTTTTTCATCTTTTCAACATACAAGCTGCAAACAACACTTTTCTTCTGGTACTGCACCCAAAAACTGTTCAATACCGCTGAGTTTGGTTTTATCATAACTATTTTATTTGCTTTATGCCATCAAACATAGTCATAATGGTATTATCAAGACCCTCAGTATATATAAAAAATCCTTTTTGTTGCCTTTATGTCTATTTTGTCCACGTTCTTCTTTAATCATTGAATCTTAATCTGGTTTGGTCAATTAGCACTGCATCAGCCTGTTGTTTATGGTGCATGTATCACACAGGCTTAGACACTTACCCACTCATCTATGAATCATTATATCCAAACAGTACACACACACACACACACAGACACAGGGGTTTTCTAATCTGCATCAAATCAATAGACTGATCCTGTGAGTTTCATTTATTATGGAAACTTCATACTGACAAAGCTGACCTTCCATTGAACTGTATATGGAGAGCTCATAGAGAGTCAGTATGTAAGTACAATTTTGAGGTATATATACTGTATGTAATTACTTTACAAACTATTTTACATACAAGACATATGAGGGAGGCGGCTAACTTAAACAACTTAGTCCCCCAACACCTATATAGGCTCAAATTAGGGTATTAGCTAACGTTAGCGCTTGCTCCAGCAGACCTCTGCCAAAACAGCAAAAAGTCTGTTAATAGTTAACTTTAACCCAGACAGGTCCCATGTCAAAACAGCGACAGAGTAGCAGACCTACCTGCGGTTCTGGAGCTGCAGGTGAACTTGTAAGTCATTGCCAAGGTATGTGGTCCTGTCAGGCATCTGAATGTAATTAAATTAAGCGCTCCTTGCTCTCCCCCTCTGGCATTCCTATGAACATGTAAATATGTTAAATAAAAGTACTTTCCATTGCAGGGCAAGGACATCTCTCTCTCTCTCTCTCTCTCTCTCTCTCTCTCTCTCATTCTCTCTCTCTCTCTCAGACTCTGTGTGTGCAGTTTGAGTGTGAGTTTACAAATGTATTTTTGTATCTGTGGAAGGTATTTTATATTCACAGACAGATTGCCAATCTTTTCACACAAATAATATTGAGACAAATGTAACTCCATAAGGGTGGATCCAATTACTGTCATTGCATGGACAGAAAGGAGCAGTGTGAGATGAATGCAAGAAGAAAGAAAAGAATGAATGCAAGCAACTTCTACATAACTGTTAGGACATGCCCAATGCTGCAGTCATTTCAGTCAAAAATGAGTCAAAAAATGTGTCACTTCACTGTCAGTGAAGCTTTCACTGGATGTTTAGGATGAGAGATAATCTCCCTTTAAAGTCACAACCATGTCTGGTTGCCAAGGCCCAGAAAAACCACAGTTGTCACTCCCACTGAAAATCCTGTGGATTCTGCATGTGTATGTGTGTGTTCATGTATATGTGTGTGTGTGTGTGTGTGTGTGTGTGTGTGTGTGTGTGTGTGTGTGTATATATATATAAGAGAGATCAGTGCAGGCTGTCCTGTTGTCACCTCATGAAACACTGCAGCATGAAAATCAGTCCTGAAGTGACCGAAGCACACACACAACACACATTCTCTAAAAATTGTACCACTGATGTTACAAAGAACGAAATATACATTTAAATAGGCTGGTGTTGTTTAACATTGTGTTGTGTGGTCTGTCTTGGTCAATTTGCTGGATTGAAATGTGCATCCAGTGATCATTCAATTTACATCACTCTTTTAAAAACAGTGGTCCAAATAATTTCAAGGGTCACAGAGGTCTCTGTAGGATTACTGGACATAGACTGATATATAGATTGACAGACAGTGATAACTGACAAATTGATTTCTATGTCGGCTGACTTGACATTTATACAAGAAGATTCTCGAAAAAGTAAAACCTCTTCAAGACAAAGCAACGCAGCATCCTCCCTTGAGCTGTTTATAATCCTTGTAGACAACCACAAAACACTAGCTGGTCCATTACGCACTAATAGTCCATGGCTCTGCTTGGTAATAATGACATCTCAGTGTGTCCTGGAGCCATGGAAACAAGATAATACCAGGAGAAACCTTTGTGAGAATGGGACTGTGTGCTTGTGTATTTCAGTGTGTGTGCACTTGTGTGAAATCCTGTTATTCTCCCCTGCAATTAGCTGTAGTGTGTACATGTGTTTGATTGTGCACAAGTGTGTGTATGCGTGAAAGTAATCCAGAGAGTGTTAGAGATGCTGTTAACACTGATCTGTTGCCATAACAACTGCAGCAGCCCCACTGTTAGCGTGTTGTCTCACTGACTGACTGGAAGGCTGTCTGGCTGGTAATCTAATTTCTAGACTGGCTGTTTGATCAGGCAAGGTAACTGATTTACCAACTGTCTATTATGGACAGATGACTGGACTGGCTGTTGTTTGAAACACATAGTGAGTCCATTTTTTTTCAGCATATATTTCACAGGTAACAGTTACCTTAGCCAGCAAGTTAGCTGCCAGGGGAGCCGGGTAGCTTGACCCCAGAGGGCCCAGCGGTCAGCCAGAAAACTACCTGCTGGGGAGGCTGTTGATGAGTTAATTTATAAGCTTTCTTACAAGCTGAAAGATGATCTTTGTGGGGTAATCCTGACACCTAATGGTCAGGTTTTCAAACTGCATATTTGAATCATAGGCTGCATAGGCTCATGTCGTTCTACTTTCAGAGACATATACTTTCTTTTAAATGATCAAATAAGTTATATTTAGAAATACAGTATGAGTCCATGGCAGTTAGGCTATATGTATGGACATATAAATCTAAACATGTAAATGTAAAGGGGTAAATGTTTGGTAATTTCATACAGAAGAGTCATTTATATCCTTGAATTCCTTTATTTGTTACCTAAAATTTAAAATTCATACACATAAATTAGCTGCATTTACAACAGTTATATCTATAATGACAAACATACAATTTTAACAGCCAAAACCATATGTTTCTACATGTCATTCTGAACACAAAGACTCAAATCAAGCTGGGAATGTGGGACTGATCAGATGCCTCCCTGTGATGGTAGTACTGTGTGACGGATAAGAACATCTGAACATCTAAAACTTTTGCATAGAACTATTTTGTTTTGTGCATTGCTGGAATGAGTTAAGTTTAGAAAAATAAATAGCCTAGTGAAGCATATTGCAGCATTTCTGATTAATTTCTGTGACAAATACTGTAAGGAAGCACAATCCATGCAGCTTGTTGTTGCATTTTGGTGTATAAAAATTAAATTAAAATAAAATAAATTAAAATAAAATAAAATAAAATAAAATAAAATAAAATAAAATAAAGTTTACTTCAAAGACATTAGTGATTTTAATGCTTCCATTTAGGTCATTGTGTAATGAGCGAAAAAGTGTTGGGAGACAAATGTCGTCACTGTATGACGGTTTCGATGTTGATAAGCTGCATGTTGCATGAGTGCATGAGTAAAAGACCCATACATAAAGCGGAACTATTGTGTATGGAGTGGTACGTACATTTTTTATGTTACACCCTCATCTCTGTCGGTCCAATCAGAGGAAGCGACTCTACTGCGTCATTCCTTACGTATGATGAACTGTCATGGCAGCCCACACGCGTATATCTAAACTGTAAAAGGCACCCAGTTCATTGTCTTGTTTTGTTGTTTTGTTTTAGATATGAGGTATTTACTCCGTCTGGGGCCTTCGTTTGCCCGTCTCCACGTCCGCTTATGTCACCAGAGTGTGTACAACAGCCACGCAAACCCACGAAGAGTGGGAGTGGACCTTGGGGAAAAGTGAGTTGACTTTCGCAGCTTCTCTTCTCTTCCAATATCTGTCAACGAGCAAGGCATGAGTTTTGATTGACACGTTTTCTGTGGTGTGTACGTAGCTTTGGTATCCTCTCTTTTTCTCATACAGCTCTTAACCCGAGCCAGAACAGACAACTGGGCTGTGTTGGTATCAAGAACACAGAATTTCATACATTTGTGTGCTAAAGTTTGGGCACCCCTCACACATTTTGTTGATTTTGTTGATTTTGTTGATCAACCCTTGCCGGAAACCAGCGTTAATAATGAATCTTTCTTCTTGTGTTAATGCGCTGTTACTTTTTATTTAATGCACCCTAACAAGCCAGTGTTTAGTAACCACACTTCGGCAGATATCGCAGCTTGCAAACTCTTTCGCAGCAGCCAAGAGTCTTTTTATTCTTCATTTTATGGTTTTTTGATCCGCTCTGGTTGTATGAAACAACAGGACGTTGACCGACTGATGTTTGTTGATATTTAGTGAAATCCCTCTATTTTTGCAGTGTTTCCTGTGCCATTGGCTGCCACACAGCCTCAGAGCACAATATTGCCACCCGCATGCTAAACATTTTTTCAAGTTCATGAAATAAAAGGCAACATTGCATTAACATTTGGAAATGATTTTTCAATGACTGTTTGCTTCCAGGGTTGTATGTGCTTCTTTATGCTTCAAAAATCAACAAAATATGTAATTGGCAACAATAATGTATACAACTGTAGCTATTGCATGTAAGTATGAGAGTGGTTTTGTGCTTCAGACATTTTGATGTGTTGTGATCTTGTTTTTGAAGGAAACTTGAGATCTCTTCAGGGAAATTTGCCAGGTTTGCTGATGGATCTGCTGTAGTACAGGTACAGAAAAAACATCAACAGTTGCACCAAACAGGTGCTTGGTTGCACCTCATAGTTTTTCAGTGTCTTCTTTGTTGCATATTCGTCACATTTCTTGCACTTTATTTACGTACTATTATCTTCTATATCTACTTCTGTCTCCTCTCTGTACAACATCTATTGTGTGCCTGTCAGTCTTAGAAGAGGCATCCATCTTCTGTTTTCCTTAATGAAGTTTTCACTATTTTCTCCATGTTAAAGGGTTTTTTTGGTGTAGTTATTTTCTTATGTGAATCAGGAGTCTTAAGGATAGGGGGGTATCTAAGAAACACTGACTTGATCTGACTCAAATATTTCACCGATGCACAATATTAGTGGACATTAGCTAAATCTTGCAAATTAAGAAATATATTTATATCTATGATCTAGTGTAATGTTACTCTGATTTCTATGAGTTTTCAGATGAGGGTTTTTGATGCAATGTATGCTATGTGTTAATAAGGCTGTGTAAAAACTGCTGCTAAATTAACTAACTAGTGAACCTGCTAACCCTTTGTTTGTGTTGGTTTGGTTAAACACCTCTAAAAACAGGGAGGCAAGACAGGTAATAATGCAGAAGCCACACTGAGACTTCTATTATTTGAGTTGATATTGTGTGTCAGTTTTGTATGTTGCCAAACAAATGAGTAGTTAATCAAATTAACACAGACCAGCTGAGGTGTGGTATGTTAATATGGGGCCCTTGTGCAGTTAGTCCACTTCACTCAGATGGTAATCCAGTGCCCTAGTTTAATAGAGTTTGTGTAAATTGAAGCTTTTTTCACTAAACACGCGTGTGACTGCTGCTTAACATGTAATGAAGAAGACTTCTTCATGAAAAGAAATAAAATGTTCTGAAGGGCTAACCTGGGCAGTCCTAGATGTTTGCTGCTATGTGTGATTTTTATTTAATTTGATGTATCCTGTTCCCTCTATGTTTCTGTCTGAAGCTGGGGGATACCTCTGTGATGGTGACTGCTGTGAGCAAAACCAAACCTTCTCCGTCTCAGTTCATGCCTCTTGTGGTACGTTCTCCAAGTAACATTCCCAATGATTGTGTAGACCTGGTTGAGCTGATTCAGAGGAGCTGATCTCCATTCATGTTTATATGTGATAGAAATGGATTCCATAGAAGCTAGAAAGTGTTGTTCAGCCATTTATAACCCGGTCTGATAAAAAGACATCGTTATGGATAAAATGATCTGCCACAAACTTGTGTCTGGAGCTGTTTGGTGAATGACTCTACACTTGGATTGACAGGTGGACTACAGACAGAAAGCAGCTGCTGCAGGTCGAATCCCCACTAACTACTTGAGGCGAGAGCTGGGCACCACCGACAATGAGATTCTCACCAGCAGATTAATAGGTGAACTACATGTGTATCTTTGATGCTGCAGATCTGTGTACTGATGCTGGGCTGTGACTTGAGTACTTTGACTAACTGTCCCTCATGTTTCTGGTCCTCAGACAGATCTATTAGACCACTTTTCCCTGCTGGCTACTTTTATGACACTCAGGTCAGTTCAGTTTGAAATTGTTTTCCCCATGATGTGATTATATTTTTGCCTCTTTTTTGCCTTCTTAAAAGATGATGTAACTTTGTATATGTCACCAACTTTGCATGTGTGTGTGTGTGACTGTCTCCTGAAGATCCTTTGCAACCTGCTAGCTGTTGATGGTGTCAATGATCCAGATGTGCTGGCTATTAATGCAGGTGAGTTAAATCTCAGCTGTCTATGTTTTCAACAGAGAACAGTTTTTCACATTGTTTACTAAAACAATATGTTCTTCCATTAAAGCTTCCGCTGCTCTGGCCCTGTCTGACATCCCCTGGAACGGACCCATAGGTGAGGAACAACATTTTTAGACCTCTTCACATATTTTGATTCATTGACTTTAAACTCTGACTGTTCAGTTTCAATTCCTGGAATGTTATTGTGCTCTTCTTTAAATCCAGCTTGAACTACTGGTGTCTCTTTGTTTTTACAGGTGCTGTGCGTGTGGGCATGGTCGATGGAGAGTTGCTGATCAACCCCTCCAGGGCAGAGATGACTTCCAGCAGTCTTAATCTGATTGTGGCTGGAGCCCCCAGCAGTCAAGTGGGTAAGGTCGAAAAAACACACAAAAAAAGTATTAATACTTATGCATGAACACGCCACAATGCTGTAAAATAACAGCTGTTTATAGTTTAGTTGCAAAGTTTAGATTCCAAGCCAATTAGCCTAACATCACTGCATATATAGCAGTGATTGGGGCGGCTGTTGCTCAGGAACACTTGTTTAATGTGACTCTCTGTCTGCCAGTGATGATTGAGGCGTCAGCTGAGAACGTGCTGCAGCAGGACTTCTGCCATGCGGTGAAGGTGGGAGTCAAACACACCCAGCAGATCATACAGGCCATCCAGCAGCTGGTGCGAGAACAGAAGGTCACCAAGCGCACCCCGGTCAAGGTGTTCTCAGCCCCGACTGACATGGTGGAACATGTTCGGCAGTAAGACCAATAATGGAACTGTTTTCCATAGTTTCAGAGTGACAAAGATCATACAGAAATGTAAGAGTGTAAAATTTAAATGTACCACTAAGACTGTATGTAGATATAATTTCCAGAATAAAACTGGACATTTTCCTCAATAAAACTGTCATTAAATAGTTGAATCAGACATTATTCACTAATACTTGTAGTCCTGGGGAACAACAGCAGCTGAGCTTGATTTCTTAACTCTGAGTGATGAAAATGTGATTCATACTGTTTAAAATGTAAAGTAATGACTTGTTTTTCATTGTCTTCCTTGCAGATTAGCTTCTGATAGGATCTATGCTGTTTTCACTGATTACACACATGATAAGGTACCTGATGTGGCCATTTTGTACCTTATTTGTGTTAAATCTTTCTGTGTCTGTTTTGGATGCATTGTGAAATAAAATTATTATTATTGTTAAGCAGACAGAATAATTTATATCTCATTTAATCTTTGTTAGTTATGGGAATGTTTGTGTTTCAGAAGAATACCTTGTCTCTTAATGAATAATAATATTTTTACTTTAGATTTCTAGAGATGAAGCTGTCAATAAAATTCGACTAGAAACAGAAGAGGACGTAAAAGGTAGGTTCATGTTCAGTATTTATGTTGCATGGAAAATAATGTTGCAGCTCTTTCTTGAAAGTCTGATTCAAAATTGTGTGACAGTCTTTTTTCTCAGGCATACGTTCTTTATTACATTTCAGTTTTCTGCGTACTTGTATTTGTGTCTGTCAGCTCAACAATATCAATCGACTTCTCTCTCATGTAGAAAAATTCCCTCAGGCCGAGCCCTTTGAGGTCATTGAATCCTTCAACGTAGTGAGCAAAGAAGTCTTCCGGAATTTAGTGCTTAATGAGTACAGGAGGTAAGAACTGTCCACGGTGAAATGAATGGACCTTCTCACGACACATGATGTGCCTTTTGCAAGTGATGCAAACATATGTAAAATCAATGTTTTCTTCTGTGTGTGTGTGTGTGTTAAGGTGTGATGGGAGGGAATTGACGGCTTTAAGGAACATTTCCTGCAATGTAGACCTCTTTAGGCCACTTCATGGCTCTGCTCTGTTCCAGCGAGGACAAACACAGGTGTGTGAAGACCAAAAAAATCAACATTTAATATAAAACATTAAGAAAGAGCTCAGAGATTCTTAAAGATAAGATATTGTAGGTTTAACACTTGATGCAATGAAATTCTTTGTTCTGATTCCCCAGTCAAGATATGTTTGTGTTGTGGTAAAAAAAAGAAAAAGAAAAAGCTGTTAAAGCCTTTTAATATCTCCTCTGTTTCCTGAAGGTGCTGTGCAGTGTCACATTTGATTCCCTGGAATCCAGTGTCAAAGCAGATATTATCACCACAGCTCTGAGGTAAGATGATCACTCACTTTCACACATCATACAACACATTAACATTATCCAGACAGTTCAGGTAGAATTTGCCCGTACTTCTCAAGAACAAGACATCACCTCCTTGGTACTTTCCTGTCATATCTGGATTCTATGGTACTTTACAGTTGTAAATTATCCACACAGAATAAAATAAACCATTAAGACAATTTAACCCATTTCTTTCATTGTTTTTTTTTTCTGTAGTGGCGTCAAAGACAAAAACTTCATGCTTCATTATGAAGTCAGTAATTTTTTCTTTCATTTTTAAAGTCCTAAGATTATTTGATATGATTCTGTGTCCTTTCAAGGTGGACTTAAAATCATTATTTCCTTTAATTTCAGTTCCCTCCATATGCAACCAATGAAATTGGAAAGGTGGGAGGCATCAACCGGAGAGAGCTTGGTCATGGTTTGTATTAACAGTTACGTCTTCTACTGGTATTCGATGTCTGCTAACCACACGTCTCCATTAAGAATCTTATGGGCAAAGACTGTGTCTATAAGGATGTGAATGTATTTGTGTATTCCCAGGGGCCCTGGCCGAGAAGGCTCTGAGACCAATCATTCCTAAAGACTTTCCTTTCACTATCAGGGTCAGTGCTGAAGTGTTAGAGTCAAACGGTGAGTGCGGTGACACAGTTTTTGATACAGTCATTGTCTGGCAGAATGTCTCAGAGAGGAACATATGGTTTTCTACCTCTCTTTATTTCCTCTCAGGATCCTCGTCAATGGCCTCAGCGTGTGGAGGCAGCCTTGCACTAATGGATGCAGGTACCAGAGTGGGAATGCATGAGATAGTTCTTGTACTGTTGATAATATCTGTAGTAAAATTTTTCAAAAGTACTGTTTTTACTTAACTTTAATTCTGCAGGGACAATCTGATTCTCCGATAAAACAGTGAATTGTATCTAAGATTTAAAAAAAAAAATTCAAAATTAGGATGTATTAAAAGTCGATAATCATATGTATTACAGTTGTAATTATTAGATTGAAAATATTTTTATTAGTGCATTTAATATCAGCTATTCATTTCCAGTAATACTATTAGTGCTTTCCAATAATAGCTACTGTCCATTTTACACACCATAAAACTCAGCAATGCAAAGAATATGTGTATGCTCACCAAGGAGGGTTTTTTTGTTTCTTATTATGCAACTCAAAATTGCTTTTGCTGACTAGTAACTTGCAGGTGTGAGATAATACGTAGTTCATATGTCCATATTTGTGTTTCCCAGGTGTCCCCATCTCCTCTGCTGTGGCAGGTGTAGCCATTGGCCTCATCTCCAAGGCCAACCCAGAGAAACCTAGTGACATCCAAGACTACAGATTACTAACTGATATTCTGGTACATAACAGTACAACCGTAGCTAGTGTGTGACCAATCTTCTGTCACTACTGCGTGGAAGAAAGAGTGTAGTTAAGCAATACAAATCAAAAAGTTATAGCCAATGTCCTTGCTTAACTATATTGGAGATGTTGAATTAGAGCTAATTGTTACTTTCTAAACAGGGAATAGAGGATTACCTCGGGGACATGGACTTCAAACTGGCAGGAACAAACAAGGGCATCACTGCTTTGCAGGTACTCCATCTGATAACTTTTTTTTGGCTCACTCCGTAGCTTAAAAGTGGCAGAAAGAATAAATAAATTTACCAGAACAGATAGAAGTATTTCACCTGGCCCATTTTCAGTGTGAAAGGTGCTAACTTTGCAACCTGCCCAAACTGTAGACCAACAATATCACAGTGATTCTGTCAGTGCCAATTCCAGTTTCTTTCTTTTCCTTTATTTAACCTCCAGGCTGATGTGAAGATACCAGGTTTGCCTCTGAAAGTGGTCATGGAGGCTATCCAACAGGGCACAGGTAATCCCACATGACAGTAACTTAACATTTTACACTAAAGAATAAAGTGGGTGTGTTTTGTGGTGCTTTGATGGCCTTTGTTTTAATATTATTATGTTTCAGTGGCAAAGAGGGAAATCTTGGGCATCATGAACAAATGTATAGTAAAACCCAGAGAAACTAGGAAAGAGAATGGACCTGTTGTCGGTAGGTGTTGTGTTTCATTATATGTAAATGTGTGCATGTACATTTTAAAGGAAGAGAGGAGAGGACATTCTTGGAACAAGTTTAACATATTGTGTTCTGATGTGTGTGAATTTTATTCTGCCTTCAGAAAATGTCCGGGTGCCTGTTTCTAGACGAGCTCGCTTTGTTGGTCCGGGAGGATATAACCTTCGCAGGCTACAAGCTCAAACAGGTAATATTCATGTAATTCATGTAAGTCCACATTCAAATAAATTAAAAAAAACAACCAGGACTGGGATGCCTTTGTCGATGAGATCTGGCACTAACCAAAGATCACATTTATTTTTTTACAAACTACTATTTTGTTTTTCTTCTTAAGGTGTGACAATAAGTCAGGTGGACGAGGAGACTTTCTCTGTGTTCGCTCCATCACCAGGAGCCATGAACGAAGCTCAAGACTTCATCAGTGAGATCTGCAAAGATGATGTGAGTCTCCGCCACTACTAGGGGCCTCTGAAAAACTAAAAATTGTACTCTTAAACTCATAATAAAGAATCTCGAATTGAAAATAACGCTAGAGTGGATAAGACAAACACTGATATGGACATTTGTGTGTGTGTTCATGTATGTTTATTTACAGCTGCATGTTTCTATACACATTTGTAAATTCATGCCTGTGCATATAGGTAGTTTATTGATAAACATTGAAACATAACAATACAAACAATTTGAAATAGCTATATTATCTTATAAATGTACACAGTGTGTAAGAACATGTGTGTTTATTTCTGTTTTGTTTTGCAGCAAGAACAGCAGCTGGAGTTTGGTGCTATCTACACAGCAACCATCACTGAAATAAGGTAAGAATAATACATTATGTTATTTACTCTAAAACATGCCTGTCATTAACACTTACTTTAAACAGGAGATTTTTGTGCATATTCCCAATCACATTGGGAAATTAAATTATGGTTAAATCAAACCTTTAGTGTTCAAATAACTCCAAAGGGCTTTTCCTCTCCTGCTTCAGGGACATTGGTGTGATGGTGAAACTTTATCCCAACATGAGTGCTGTCCTGCTGCACAACTCACAGCTGGACCACAAACGGGTCAGTAAATTTTCCTCTGCACACTGTCTGCCTGTTTGTTCATGTTTATATCAGTGTTTGGGGATAAAATCAAGACTTAAAGGTCATTGCTTTGTATTTTTTCTCTTTTAGATCAAACATCCAAGTGCATTGGGTTTAGAGGTGGGAAAGCAGATACAGGTACGTATAAAATAACTGCAAGCTGATTTGTCAAAAGTACATCCTGGGCTGCTTGTCTCTAACTGGAGTTCTGCTAACAGGTCAAGTACTTTGGACGGGACCCAACAGACGGTAGAATGAGACTTTCACGTAAGGTGCTCCAATCTCCTGCTGCAACTGTTGTCAAGACACTAAGTGAGAAACAGAGCATCTCCATTGGTTCAAGCAACAGCCAAACGGCCGGCAGTGATTTGTGACACGCGAACACAAGAGGCTAACTTCTGGCTTTGCCACTTGATTTTTCTACAAAACAATCCTGTTGAGAAATCTGCCAAACCAAGAGCATCAGGTTTTGTCACAGACTGAACCAGTGTGCATAAAGGAGGTTACCCAGTGCTGTGGGGATGGGCATGATAAAACTGCGCTGGACTGAAATGCATCTCACCAAATACAGTGTCCTGCTTACATTGTGCTTCAGTGGATGTGCACCAACTGAGAAGAACCCTTAAAAATAACAATGAGGGGGGTAACTCACATTTTCAAAAATAAGAAATGTATTGTATTTTTAAGTATCTACTTTTATCATGTTGTTTTCAAATTTTCCACCTGAGCTAGCATTGACAGCATCTAGTTGTAAGAAGGTTAGATTTTTCTATTAGCATCCCTCAACACACCTATCTAACAGCTTTGACCCAATAGACACAGTACAATCCCACAGTGGTTTTGTTATTTATATGTGTGATAATACTGCCTCTTGTGGTATGGGACTTCCCTACTTGGTGTCCACTCAAAGCTGCCAGGATCAAGATATGGACAAAAAAAGAAAAGTGGGAGAAATGTCTAATTATTATAATTTTTTATATAATATTCACTTGTTTTTCATTTGCAGTATATGTGAGTCATCTGTAAATAAAACGATTACTGGTTGCTTTGTGTGCATTAAAATTCACAGCTGCTTCAAGCAAAAAATACCATGCACACATAAGGAACCAGAATTAATTCCAATATTCCAATATATGTCCAAGATTCCAATACCAGATGTTGCACAAAAAGCCAACAAAAAATTAAACTTATGGTAAGTGTATTCAAAGAGAAAAAAAGTCCATACAACCAATTGAACCACTATAAAACTGATAATAGTAAAAGTTAAATTTGCGTTCAGACTAAAAAACACAGGTTACAAGAAACAATAAAGTAAAAAAGCAACACAATACAGATAGATGATGATTTACTGAAAAATGTCTATTAAAGATAAATTGATAAATTGTTCCCAATTGTATACAAAGCCTCTGTACTTCTGCCAGTCTCAGAGAGATGACACAAGGGCCTCATCACCAAATGAAAGTCCCATGAAGACAACTGCTGGGCGCTTTAATAAAATGATGTTAAAGAGACAGTTTTCTACATCCATGAGATGTGCAGCCCTGCGGCCGAGGAAATTGGGAAATACCTGTGTCAGGAATAGGTGCACCTCGGTGATCTATTTGATGACTATGGAACTGTTTACTTAAATAAGTGGCAATCAGCCAGGAGCCATTGAGAGGTACATTTGTAAACCTGAACCCTAAAATAATATGTAGCCTATGCATACATAAATAATATGCATAGGTAAACAGGCACCAAATTAAGATTCAACCTCCATGTGGGTGAAAGTTTAGACAATTTTAATATCAGTTAAACTCTGTCAATGCATGCAATCTTCCATTTCACAGTTGCGAAACTGGAAACTGTTTTCTGAATAATACAAAGAATAGAAAGAGTCTCTACGCTGTCCAATACTGCTTGGAGCATTAACAGTTTTATTAGGACTTCCCCTTTGTTATTTTGAGCAGGGAAAGTACTGTACTTACTGGAGCATGGAGTTTTTTTCCTAAGCTGGAGAACATCTGGGATTTTGTGCTAAATATGCACTCAGTTGGCAGTTTAAAAGGTACATCTAGCTAAAACTAATGCAGTCTAATACAATAGTCTTGCAATAAATCCTCCCTTCATGAAGGTTAGAGTGTTCAGTTTGTATTGAAATTGTCTTAGAGAGGGGTTGATTGAGTTGTATGATCATTTTGGAAGATGTAGTTTTTGGTGCTGTTGAACTGTATTACGTTATACATTGAGTTTTTTTCAGTTATTCAGCCTCCTCATTGATATAGGCTGGACAAAATAATAGGAACACCTATCCGTTTTATGAACCCCTTTCTAAAACAATAAAAAAACTGAATGTTATAACCTTCATGGAGGTAGGATTTATTGCAGGACTCTTATATTAGATTGTATGTAATAATAAACTGGGGAGATATTTGAATTATTTGTGTGTTTGGCTTATTGGTCCAATTGGCAGGTGCTGGAAAAAGTTGAATGCAATGCTCTCTGGTCCTACATGGTTAGGAAGTAATTATTCCATAAATTTATCAAAAAATAATGCGAAGAACTGTGTTATTTTTCTGTTTCAGGTATTTAAATACCACCGCATGTTACCATGGTGTCTTTTTTTTGACTAAGTAGTTAGTATAGAACTGTATTGTCATTAAAAAAAACAGCTCAGTTCAGTCTACATCTGCAGTTAACAGCTTCTGCTGTTACTTTTCCCGCCTGTAGGTGGCGCATTGAATTTGTGTCTCTGCGGCTCTACCATTGGATGATAACGCTCGAAGGGGGAGACCCCGCAGCAGTGAGCGCTTGATTGACGTCGAGGAAGAAAAAGAACACAAGATCGGATTACAAGATGGCGGTCTGTGGACGTTAGCAAGGAGGCCGTTGGAGTTGTTGTGCTCTGTGTGAATTTACAGTTTGATATTAAGCCTCCTGTTGAGTTTTTTTCACATCGTAAACGTAATGTTTTTATGAAATTGCTACTGGCATATTTTATTGTTATAGCGAACTTAACTTAGACGTGCATGTTTTGTAACATGCGGGTGGAAACAAAGTTAACAGGTCGAGGGTAGGAAAATAGTAGACGGGGTGAGGTGATAGCTTGTTAGCAACTAGCTAGCCTGCTAGCTCCGACTCGGTTAACCATGTCGGACACTCGGCGGCGAGTGAAAGTATATACGCTGAATGAAGACCGGCAATGGGACGATCGGGGTACCGGACACGTTTCATCAAGCTTTGTTGAACGGCTTAAGGGAACAACATTATTAGTTCGGGCCGAGTCAGACGGTAAGTGCCCAGTTAGCATAGCCGCACTGACGTTACGTTGGCTAACCTTAGCATGCTAACTCCTAGTTGCTCCGACAGAATCCTTCAAATGGCCACTATGCATACCTGGTTAACTTATTGAGCTCTCTTTCTTGTAATTTGCTGCATTATTCAGAGTCAACCGTTTCAGTGTGTCGGAACAACCAAAATTATCGTTGTTTCTAGTTAAAGGCAGTAATATATTGAATAGCTTGTGCTAGCAAGTTCGTTCGTTGAGCAGGCGACGTGATCTCAGTAGCATGGGGGGCCCTCAAAGTCTAGTCTTAACCGTACAAACTTGTTATTGCCCAAGATAGTAAACCGTTATGTGTTCATGTGCAGATCACAAAAATAAGTAATTGGAATAGGCGAACGGTGGGTAAGAAGTCCTTGTTCTGTAAGTTTTAACTTTGTATTTTTGCGTCATTGTTCTATTCAGCTTTTCACATTATCTGCTTAGCGTGAAATGCTCTCTGTCATGCACGTTAATTGACCAAGGATTTGTTAAGTTAATCATTTGGTAATCTTTGCTTTAATCGTGTGCGCTAGCTCGAAAGTTAAGTTACCTAAATCTTTGTGTTTTAGGATCACTACTATTGGAGTCGAAGATAAGCCCGAACACTGCATATCAGAAACAACAGGTAAGGATAGACCATCTCAGTCTGGATCAGCCATAAAAGACATGCACATACATACCCGTTAGATTCAAATTAACAGAAATTTAAAAATTTATGAGGTCAATTTTAATCATTTCAACATTGAGACTTGTTGCTGGACAGTTATTGTAAGTGCAAATGATGGAAATTCATGACCTGTTCTGATTGTAAACCTGGAAACAAGTAATACATAGGTCACATTATGAGGAATTACAATGCCATCAACTGCTTTTTCATAATTTTAACAGTTCAGTTTGGCAAAAGAATTTCATATAGAAACTTACCACATGGCTTAAAATAACAGATCCGAACCAAATATCTGCATATTGTAGACAAAGTGGATTCATCCATCATTTAAAGTACTTGTTTTTAAGTTTATACAGTTACAGGCATGAAAAACTTTGTGTTTAGTTAATAACCAAACACAAGTTCTTTTTGAAGTGTGCTTTGCAAGGATGTTTGAGTGTGTCCTGCGGAAATTCTGATGATTCTGTTTTCTTTGTGCACAGTTTGATGTTTCTTCCTCTTCTTTCCAGGACACACTAATTGTCTGGTCAGAAGCAGACAACTATGACCTTGCCCTAAGTTTTCAGGAAAAGGCTGGCTGTGATGAGATCTGGGAGAAGATTTGTCAGGTAAAGACAATCCAGTTTTACCATGTTTTATACATTGTTTACTGGGGAGTAGACAAGCAGGAGTGTTGGGGGTGGGTGATTGCTCAGGTAGTATAGCTGGTTGGTCGCTGATTCTTGGGTTGGCGGTTTGATGCCCTGCTCCCCTGAACCGATGCTGTGTCAGGATGAGCTTCCGGCATAAAACCTATGTCAAATCAAACATGAGGATGGTGATCTGCTGTGGCAATCCCTCATGGGAGCAGCTGAAAAACAACAGCACATGCAAAAGTGGTGCTGGTTTGCTGGTGCTAAAATTTTATTGAGACTATTACAGAGGGAAAGAGGCAGTACATTGATGCTTTTTGTTAATTCTTCATTTCACATCTACTGACTATTTATTGCTCAGGTTCAAGGCAAAGACCCTGCCCTGGACATCACCCAGGACCCTATTGATGAGTCAGAGGAGGAGCGCTTTGAGGAGATTCCAGAGACAAGCCACCTTGTAGAGCTCCCTCCTTGCGAGCTAAGCCGACTGGAGGAGATCGCTGACCTGGTTACCTCTGTCCTGTCTTCGCCAATCCGGAGGGAAAAACTTGCTCTGGCCTTGATGAGCGAAGGCTACATCAAGAAACTCCTGGGTCTCTTCAGAGTATGTGAGGATCTGGACAACAGAGAGGGCCTACATCACCTCTATGAGATTGTCCGGGGTGTGTTGTTCCTCAATAAAGCAGCCCTCTTTGAAGTGATGTTCTCTGACGACTGTATCATGGATGTGGTGGGCTGCCTTGAGTATGACCCAGCGCTGGTTCAGCCTAAACGGCACCGGGAATTCTTGACCAAGACGGCAAAGTTTAAGGAGGTGATCCCTATCACGGACTCTGAGCTTCGGCAGAAGATCCACCAGACCTACCGAGTGCAGTACATTCAGGACATCATCCTGCCCACGCCATCTGTCTTCGAAGAGAACTTCCTGTCCACACTCACCTCCTTCATCTTCTTCAACAAGGTGGAAATTGTCAGCATGTTGCAGGTAAGGATCCAAACCAGGTAATGTGTATTAACCTTTTAGGCCCAATTTATTGTATTTTTTTTTTCCAGATTAAAAATTTCATTGCAAGATGAACATTTCTGCACATACAGTAGATCACAAATGCCAGAGTGCCCGCCCTCACTGCGATTCAAGACAATTACATAACTCACCTAATGATAAATGAACAACTGACTTTCAATCATTAAAAAACGTTATAATCTACCTGTAAATGTTTTCATACACAGTGCAGCTCAGGAGACTTTTTATGGTAGTTTTGTCCACAAGTGAAGACGTGTCTGTGTATCATGTTTTGTAATGTGAGGATTGACCCATTAAAAATTGAATAAAAACCATACAGTAATTGTCATAATGCAAAGTCCCATCTCAAACAGTGCCAGCCCATCCATTTCATTGTCAAGTGTTGGGCATCCAATAGTCATATTTCAGGGCTAATGAGAAGTGAAGTGGCTGTCTCTAAGAGTCATGGGTTTCTCTCGGTGTTGTTAGGACAGTGCACTTTTGTGATTCTTGCTTCAGAAAAACTTGAGTACAAACTGTTCAAGATTAAGTTTTGTAGTCCTCTTTTGTTTCTTCGTGTTTTGTTTCTTCACTGTCTTGATCCCTTAACCCTGTTTTTCTGTGCCGCAGGAGGACGAGAAATTCCTAACAGAGGTCTTTGCACAGCTCACAGATGATGCCACAGAGGACAGTAAAAGGAGAGAGCTTGTAAGTCAAACAATTGTCCCAATATTTTATTTGGTAAAATGTAGAAACCTAAAGGTTGGACTGTATTTTAATATTTCTTGTAATGTTGGCTCTCATTGCTGTGAGAGTGAGATGTGCACAGTGTTATGTTCTTGTTTTATGGATTAATCCTGCTGTCTGTAAAGCCATTTCTTTTGCAGTAGCTAAATATTCATTGACTTTTTTTGCAAGATTTTCTATAATGAATTTGATGTAAATTATCTCTGTGTCTACTGACTTGTAATACAACAATATTGGCAATGTTATTCATTGTACACTGTAGACTCTCACTGAGGGTGAAATAGGGAAAGAATCATTTCCATGCAGTTTTCATTTTTTTTCAATATTGGAAAACCTTTGCATCCTGAAATGGAGTGTTTGAGACTGAACCAGAAATGATTCCCACTGTTGTAAAATATCACAACTGAATCAATGCTTGGAGATAGTGTTTTTGTTATTGACCTTTAATGGCTTGCATTCATGTGTCAAATACTGAATAACCCCCATATCTTTCTTTTTTTTTTTTTTTTTTCTTTTTTTCTCTTCAGGTGAACTTTGTCAAGGAGTTCTGTGCTTTTTCACAAACGTTGCAACCACAGAACAGAGATGCTTTCTTCAAAACTCTGGCAAATCTAGGCATTTTACCTGCTCTTGAAATAGTCATGGTATGTTATATGAATATTTAAAACTGTTAGTATATTGTCTACGAATGCTTGATTAGGGAAAAGATTGTTTAAGTGTTAAAATTTCCTTCTATCTATATCTTCAACTTTTATTTTTCTCCTGCTCAGGGAATGGATGACCTACAGGTGAGAGCAGCAGCTACAGACATCTTCTCTTACCTGGTGGAATTCAGCCCTTCCATGGTCAGGGAGTTTGTCATGCAGGAACCACAGCAGACAGACGACGTAAGCATCTTAACATCACTGTCATCATGCATTCCTGCACTTTTAAGATTCAAGGCTGTAGTTTGGTTCAGACCAGGACTGGCATTATAAAATTCTACAATTTTGAAAAATGTTCTACATAGCACAGTATTGTTGTGTCAAAAGGAATCGTTGAGCACAATATTTAAATCATGCGCTGCCCTATCATGTACTTCCAGTGATGCTCTTTCCAAGCATTTAATGATTGAGGTGAAATCTAATTATCAAATGGGCTTTGTTATCATGTGTGCTTGTAGACACTTTATAATACACTTTACTATACAAATAGTGGATGGACAAGAACCCCACAACTGTCAGAGAAACACTAAACTATGCATTTGAAGAAATTCAATTCAGTGAAGGGTCCAAGAGGATCAGTAGGGCACATTTTTAAAATGAAAAACTAAGTAAGCATACATGTCGGCACAAACTTTCTTATATCTAAAGCAGCAATTCAAAATTGCCTTTTTGTAAAATTTTAATGAAAACCTGACACCACCGTCCTGCAGCTAAGGCAGCTTCGCACTTGACAACTTGCCAAATTTCTGGGGTCAGGTCATTTTTAGTACTTTAACACGGGGTCACACCCAGACAAGGATAAGAGGCCCTTAACTTGGTTTGATCTGAAAGTGTAGTTAAATCTCTCTGTGAAATAAATTTCCTTCCAGCAGGGTAAGGGTCGCTTTACTGTGTCATGTAATGTTTTTGTTGAATTTCTCCTTTAATGTTGACCTTCTACTGTGTGTGTGATTGCATGTTTGTGTGTTCCTTTTTTTTCAGGATGTTCTGCTGATAAATGTCGTGATCAAGCAAATGATTTGTGACTCCGACCCAGAGTTAGGAGGAGCTGTCCAGCTGATGGGTCTGCTCAGGACACTCATCGACCCTGAGAACATGCTGGCTTCTACCAATGTACAACATACACACATACACAAGATTTTAAATATAGAGCCGTTATAAAGTCATGTGTTGATTAAGAGTAAGGCCAGGATCATTTGTGTAACTCCTGTCAAACTTGCAAGCACACAATGATAGCTGGATTACTGTTAAAACTTAAGAGATCTATTTTCCAAAGTTTATTTCCTGCCTAAATCATGTTCCCTTCCAGACGCACTGTGGCCAGATGTTACACTGCAAACCCAGGTTGACAAAGTTTTTTGTCATTTGTTTCCTTTTAGAAAACGGAGAAGACAGAATTTCTGAGCTTCTTCTACAAGTACTGCATGCATGTCCTGACTGCTCCTCTGCTGGCCAACACTGCACATGACAAAAACCCAAAAGGTAATCTGGGGAGAAAGGCTTAAAATAAAGTAAAAATAAAGTTTTTCAGACTGATGGATGTTGGAGAATTTGACTGTTATTCTGTGTCTGGATCTTTCAGATCTGCAGGAGGGATCGACTAAGATCAACCCGGTCTGTCCAGGTGGGTGTTGTTTAACTCAAAATCAACCATGAACTGCTCAAGTCATCTTGTTGTGCATGCCAGAGTTTACTGGAAGTTATTATTGTACTAGACAGTGACATTACATTTTAATTTCACTTGATATTACTCTATCAACTGCATCCATCAAAAAGGTATATTTCCAAAGTTGCAAAGTATCATAATAGATGTTTTGTTTAATAAAACTGGACTGTAACATAACATATAACAAGTGTATATTCTATGATTACACTTGCTTTAAATTGAATAACAAATATTTATCTGGCTTGTGTTTGGAAAAATGGCAGGACTATAAGGCAGAGTCTTTCTATGTGTAATGTGAATTTGGGAAATGTAGTATGATGTATTTGCAATGTTCTGGTGTGAAGTAGCTTTGTTGTTTTTGTGTAGATAACTTCCAGACAGCTCAGCTTCTGGCACTGATCCTGGAGCTTCTGACCTTCTGTGTGGAGCACCACACCTATCACATCAAGACCTACATCATGAACAAAGACCTACTCAGGAGAGTGCTGGTGCTCATGAACTCAAAGCACACCTTCCTTGCTCTTTGTGAGTCCCCCCGATACACACCCACACACACCTTTCTGCTACTTTGTCTTCTTTAAATGTTCGGTCATTGGTTATCCTACTTAATGAATGAACTTCTACCAAGTATAACCTTATGGGTTTTTAACCATACCAGAGCTGTGGATCTGCTGTATGGATCCCACATCATGTCAATTAACACACTGTTGATTTTCTTCAGAGTTAAATGCAAACACAACTTCTCCTGTTTACAAAGTTGTCATTTTTTTTTGTCCAAGGTGCCTTGCGTTTCATGCGCAGGATCATTGGTCTGAAGGATGAGTACTACAATCGCTACATCATCAAAGGGAACCTGTTTGAGCCTGTCATCAATGCCCTGCTGGACAACGGCACCCGATACAACCTCCTCAACTCAGCCATCATAGAACTCTTTGAGTTCATTAAAGTTGTGCGTAAACACATGAATACTTTCTTAATAAAAACTTTTCATTTGCATTGTGTTTGCACATGACATTCAAAGTGGATTGTTTGTGATTTCCACCGTATCTTCTCTTGCCAGGAGGACATCAAATCCCTCATAGCTCACATTGTGGATAACTTCTACAAAGCACTTGAATCCATTGAGTACGTCCAGACTTTCAAGGGGCTGAAAGGCCGGTATGAGCAGGAAAAAGACCGGCAGAGTCAGAGACTCAATAGGTCAGTAGACTGAGTGAACACACAAAGGTCAAATCAGTGCAGTGATCTTTATAAATATTCCCAGTTCGCACTGTTCCCCGACACGATTTCATCACATTTTTCAGTAGAAAACTGTACATCAAAGCAGCTTTTTTTCCCTGGTAGATATCGCAGAGATGCACGGTCATTGGATGAGGACGAGGAGTTGTGGTTCAATGACGATGACGACGATGATGATGGAGAGGCTGTTGAGAAGAGGATGGAGGATGACTTCTCTGACAGCTATGGCAAGTACATGGAAGCAAAAAAAGGTAAGCTGCACTTGTACTATTGTATGTATCTTTCTGGAAACGTTTTCCTCGGATTACAACATGATATTTACAGTCTCTGTTACTGCAGGAGCTGCCAACGGAGCTAATGGTGCCAACAACAATGGGAAAGCTGCTGTAATCCCACCTTCCTCACCAGCCGTCACTCCAAACAACAGTTCAGCTTCCTCTGTCAAAACAGTTGCTCTTCCTGCCACACCAGTAGTGAAGGTAATGTTGTTGCCACTGTCAAGCTGTAGAAGTCTTTAAAAACTGTTCTGTGTGTGTAAAGACTGAAACAGAATTTGTTTTAACATAGACCAGAAACAGAAGTTTGTTCCACAGCATGTTTCTAGTGTTGACAAAGCTGTCCTTCAACACTGCAGAAGAAGGGCAGACACACACTTGAGATTGGGCTCAACAAGCAACTATCAGTGTGTGTTTTTGTTGTTTCTCTTAGACTGCTCTGGTTGGTTTGGTGGACTACCCTGATGATGAGGATGAAGAGGAAGAAGATGAGGAGGAAGAGCAGTCTCCGAGGAAGCGGCCCCGTCTAAGCTCTTAAGGCTAATTGTCCTCTATTTGGTCGTGGTGGACGGACACTGAGTCCCTCCCATCCTCCCTCCTCTGGTCGTCTCATTGGTCCTTGGCCTGCCTGTGCCACCCGTCAGTCTCACTGAGGAGACGGGCAAAGACGAGCTCCCACCTCACTCACTCCCTCCTGATCTCTGCTCCTCTTTCTCCCTCAGCGGAAGGAGAGGGAGAGCTTCTCTTTTACTGGAAAGAAAGACAGATCAGTCTGTTCCCTCAGCCCGTTGATTTTTCCTCTTCCTTGTACCAACAGCCTCCTCCAGGGGATCCCAAAACCTCCTTTCTTCCTTGTGACCCTTTGCAAATGCATCCCTCCTCTTTCATTACACTCTCCTGCTTTCCCAGTGCTCACCTCTTTCTGAACATGTTCTTTTATCTCTGTTCTTTCTGAACAAAATTCCCCTCCTCATCCTCCATCCTACATACCGACCAGAGAGGCTGCGGTGGAAATCAGTGCCAAGGCGGTTCCCAACTCTGCTCTGTTGCTATAGCAACAGTAGCAAGGAAGCTGCGGTACTACAGCAACCCCACAGGAACCCTCACACGTCCTCATTTGAACTCTCCCTTCCATCCTTCTCGAACCCGAACCAGTGAGCTCCAGAGAGAGAGGAAGCCAGAACACAACCAGCCAGTGTACGTACTGTTCAGCAGGCCAGTCAGGCTAGCAGGACTAGCCGTCATAGTTATAGAAAGCTTGACTGGCTGAAGCAGTGTGTGTGCGCTGCCCTGCCACAGAACTGTTCACTTCTGTTGGGGATAGAGGGATCTAGGCAATGTGGAAGAATTAAAACATCGAGAGACAAGGGAGGTGACAAATGACAAAATGTACCAGGATGAAAACTCAGCAGTAATGAGGCTTAGATCCAGAGGAGCAGGACTCAAACCTTCAAAAGCCATGGCATCTGTTTGGCCAAGGCACACACGAAAAACACAACACACAATGTCTCACACACAGGACTGCGTTAGCCAGAAATCCTGTATTTCATGACTTTGTTAAAAAGTACTGTACAGATGTTTTTTTTTCTTTTTAATCATTTGCCCCTGATATGATTTTGAAAGGGGAGAGAGATACCTACCGACCTGTGTATTTTTTTTGTTGTTGTTGCACAAAAAGGTGGGGTCACTGTTCACCCTTTCAGTCCAGTTCATTTGATTCAATGTAAAATGCTGGTTTTAAAAATAACATTAAAACTGCAGTAAAGTCATTTTTGCAGCCAACATTTTGAGAATGTCTTGAGTTTTGTATTTTAGTGGATTTCAGAATTAAGTGGACCCATTATGATGCACACGTAGCCCAGTTTTTTGTTTGAACTGGGTGAAAAACCTGAGCTGTTGGTGTGCTTACAAGTAGATTTAGTGCACACTTTTGTTTGAGGAGGTTCAAGTCTTGGCACCCTCCTCTCAGACAGATCTCAGGTTCAGAGTTCAATTTGCATCAGAAACAAAAAGCCCACCTTCTCTGTGTGCTGTAACACTGCTAGCTGGTGAAACATCTCACCTTTATAATTGAATGGAGAATGATTCTAGTGAGTTATAAGGGGCTTGAGGTGCCAGGGGCTTTTTAATCCAGGTTTGAAGGACTACAATGATCAGATCCAGGTCAGATGCACTCAGCTTTGTTCCACAGTTCATGTCTAATTTCAAGTTTTCTTTGGCCTGTCCACAAAAACTAGATTGAAAATATGTTGAAGGAAACCTTTTTTCTTACAGTTTTTAATTCAAACTTTATGAATGGATGAGCTGTTTTTATTAGTTATGATAAATATGATTTAACCCCAGAGTTGATGCAGTGCAGTTTTTGAATCAAACAGTGTTGTTCAGGTGGCTTTCTGACACAACATAAGTTTGACAATGTCGGAGGGACAATGAGACATTTCAGTGTCAGGTCGAAACATTTCCCATGTTGAATCCTCTCCTGGTCTCACAACAAGCACACTGAGAGGCAGATGAAGGGACTCAAAACTTGCTAAAAATGCTAGATCAGACTTTTATCTACAACATTTGAATCAAATCACAAGCAGCACGGTAGGAGCACAAGTAAAATCATTGTTATTGCCAATGTGCTTTTCAGGAGTTCAGCAGTACACGAGCAGTAAATTGTCTTTCCTCCTGTTTGTTAGTGTCGCCAAACAATGACTGTTTATGCGCTCCCTTGATGAATTTGTACCAAGTGCATTTACTACCACTATCCATTCTTAACATTTGTATGAATTTGATAAGTTTTGAAATTAAATGTGACCCTGACATTGAAATTGTGAATCGAGCTTTGTTTCAGTAATTTACTGATTTGGCAATTGGAACTACAAAATTTCTGATTGATTCTCAGCTGTTCCCTTGAGTCAAGAAGGTTGTATTTGATCAAATCTCACAAATTTGACTCTTAGTAAAACTATACATAAGAACTGTTTACACCGTTTCTTTGAGGATATTGGCATTCTTGAAATAGTTTGTAGATTATTTTGAAGTCTTTTGCTGTTGTAAATTATTCTACGGAAAGGACATGAAGTTTTTTGACCTTTTTGTTTCTATAAGATGATTCATACACACTATATCCTGTACTCAGGAAAGTGTTTTCACACACATGATATAATTTCTGATAAAATGCATCACATTTGGCTCTTTTGCAGATTCAAATAGCAGATCAGTCTGAGACCAACTACCCACTGACTGACCACTTGTCAACAGACTAGCTTCACAGTTTTTATACATTCAAAGTCTGGAATCCAGGTCTTTTCTATAAAATGTGATTTATTAAACAGCATACCTGATAACAATATTACATAGAAACTGGTGCATCCTGATTGCTTAAAAGTGAAGACTGCAGATTTGAAGATAAATATGGCATTCCTCCGTAGCAAGCGACACACTGTTGTCTTGGCCCCTTTAAGAACACATTACAGTGTGCTCATCATGACGATTTACATCCATGCAATTTCCACAGTGCTCTTTGACTAGGATGAGCTGCTACAGTGTTTTCGCTCTGGGAATGCTAACGACAGTGGAAAACAAGACTGTATACTTGAGCTAGCTAACGTTCACTTCAACATAGGACAGTTTCCCATTCCAATAAAGCCCCTTTGAATTGAACTTAATTGAAAACTCACCCAATTGAGTCTTTCCCCACATTAATGCTTAACTCACTGACATAACTCCATGCCATTTGTGCCCAGTGTTGAGTCAGTTTCACCACATGGCCCATTTATGACATTTTAAATGCATAACATGAAAATGTTTTTATTCCAATGTGGGACCATTTGAGGACATTATTTAGTCTAAAACTTTAGCACTTACAATTTGGACATTCCAAGATGTCATCAAAGTAAATGGCGTTCACTTATTCCACAAATATGGAGTGATTTGGACACAGGCATCTAGTAACGTAAAGTGTCTGGGTTTTCCACTGAAGCCTCCTAATATTGGCAGCATATTGCCTGACTGGTCTGTGTGCGTTTCAGTTTGCCTGACATTTTCTGAACTTTCTTGGTCAAACAGTTGTAATTATCTAACAGACCTTAGAACACTTGAGTAGCCTGGTATGAGTGCAGACTGCCACACAGTGGTACATCCAAAATTTAAAAGAAGATGCCCCTGTTTCATCTGTAGACAGCCATGACAAGAACTCAGAAGAAGGAAGATCTCTACTTTTAGTTTCTTTGGGAAAAACCCTGAAATGTGTCATGGAAAGTGGATTATTTGTCTGAAGGAGGCAGTGTAAAGGAAGCCATGTGTTTGATTAACAGAGTAAAGAGATAGGATATAAGTGAGAATACTGCAGTTGGAGGGGAAGTTATTTCTTGATCACTTCCTCTTTCAGCTTGTCAGCCAGATGTTTTCTCTTCTGCAGCTTCTTTCTTTCCTCGGCAGATATCTCCTGCGGAAAGAGACCATACCATTCAGTCAGGTTAACAACCTGATAGATAACATAACCACCACTGGCGGCTTCAGACAAAATCTTGGGAGGGTGAAAAGGCACAGAGAAAGACTACTAAATTACAACACAGCACACGTGTCTACAGGTATTTACTAGACAACTAAATGAAAGCAGCTGGGGTTGGAAACGCAGCTATGCTATACCTGTATTTCAGGATTTTCAAAGTGGTATCACATAATAAAATATTAGTAAAACTTTCAATTCAAGACCTTAAACATAATATCTTTTCAGTGGGTCCGATTTCAATCCACAATGTAAATGACACCTCGTTCTCTCACTTTTTGGCTTTAATGAGCAATTAACTTGAGTAGAAGAGCTCAGAGTGCAGACTATTCCTTTTCTGTACATGGAGGACTTCCGACCGAGTTCAACAGAAACAAAGGAGAGACAGCACTACAAAGCAAAACCAGAGCAAAACACATTAGCTGTGAATGAGTACAAGTGTTCACATCAGGCAGAGGCAACTGATGGATCACCTTCTGTTTGGAGGAGTTAGCAGAGTGTTGTGCTGGAGGAAGAGGAGGGGTACAGGCCCCATTCCTCTGGGACTGCCCCACTGCCTCCTGACAGGCCAGACCAGGTCAGATACAGACAGAGGGGAGTGAAGGACAAGAACCCAATAAAAAAAGTCAGGAGGAGGAAAAAGAGAGAAAAATCAGGTGTAAAATGTGGGTTAAAGAAAATTGGGTGAAATAAAGAATTAAACAAGAACTAACGTTATGACCAAAATTAAAATTGAACTGAATATTACATATAAATTGTTAGGTCCTGGGACAATCTGATCAGTGTGGTTACTGAGACAAAATTAACAGCCAGTGACAAATTGAAATTAACAGTACAGATGATGACTTCTCAAATGAGCCAATATGAGTGAAAATACATTTGAATTATGTCTAACATCAAGAACATTGTAATGAGGCCTCATCATTACATTTCTTGCACTCAAAGCCATTATTTGCTCACTGTGTGTCCTTGAACTGGTTTTCCGGTCCCTGTTTCAACAGCTATTCAGTGTGTCAAAGTGTCGGGTATTTAACCCTGACCTCTGACCTTTTTGTGAAGAGAGGTATAAGGAATGAGGGCAGGAACAGGCTGTATTTACCGGGGTGGTGGTCGGTGCTGGTGTGGGGCTGGTAGGTGCCTCTCCTGGTGTGGCTGTCTGCTTGGTTTTCTGCTGCTCTTTCTTCAGTGCATGCAGCTTGTCCCGCTGCTGACGAAGATACGCTGCCCTCTGCTGGAGCTGCTCCTGTTGTGACACTGACAACTCCTGGAGGGAAGAAGAGGTGAGGGTGAAACAGGAGCAGGAATCTTGCCCAGTTAACTCTGTTCCAAAAATTTCAAAATAATTAAGATGACAGAGTTGGTGGGATTTCCTCCCAGCTCACTGTTGATGTTTTAGTTTACTACTAAATGTATTAAAAAATAACAACAGTGAGGTGGGAGCTGTTAAAACCCCCATACCACCCAGATTAAGCATCCTTATTTTCTACAGTTTATCATGTGTATGACACTCTGCAGAATAAATCACATGGGGAATACTGCATATCAAAGATGATGTAGTGTATGCAGCAGGCTCACAGACTCACAGTATATGGCTTAGAGAAGCCAGCCTCCCTGTGTGCCTCCTCCAGCCACGTCTCGGCTACAGGCTTGCTGCTGTTGCTCTGTTCCTTGGTATGAGCACTGTTGCTGACGGAGGGCTCACTGGGCTTTACTGGAGCTCTCACTGCTGGAAGGACTCTGGACTCCCCACTGTTACTGCCACAATCTGAACACACATGTACAGTATGAATCAGCTTGGTAGCTTGTAGCTCTCTCAGGTTGATTGGTAAATGACACAATAGTATAAAAATATGTGAATAGTGTAGTAAACACTAATAATTTAGCCTCACTATACATTGTTTGGAGTTAATGAGGTTTTGAACCCAAGATTTAAATAAAATTAGTAAAGCAGCTAACTGTGGCGGGGAGATTTAGTAAGACAAATAGAAGAATAGTTCAGAGTTGCTGCTCATCTGATTTACCTGGTATAGGTTTAGCCGAGGACTTGCTCTTAGCTGCACTTTTCTCATCTCCACCTCTAGGGGCAGCTGTCTTCCCTTCTTCTTTTCTGACCGGGTTGCCGTTGACCTGGAGGGAGGTAACCACAGGCATTAATGTTGTACAGATGACACAAACACTGTATCAAATTCAGCGCGCTATTGCAGCATGCTAATAATGGAAAGCAGATGCTACAACACCATATACAGTCCTCGGTTTGTAGACACCAGTGTAGAAGATTTTCTGGATACTGAAAAACACAAGCCATATTTTCCAATTGACTTGATACTTTCTCTTCTTTTGCTGATACCTGACCCTGACACTTTACACTTTTGGTCATGTGAAAGTTAAGCTCTGATTGGTTACAAAGTGGTCAGGAGAGATCCTGCCTGTTGATTAACTCAGTATGTGCATTTAAATTACCTGGATATCTAAAGACAATGTTTCACATCAAATTGTTAATGGCTTGTAAAATGCAACACTTCCTAGTCACCCTACAGTCAGCAAACATTTCTATTCCATTGATACTACATGTGCAACCTAATTTACAGGCTTTAAAACGACAAAGCTACTACATGACCAATCCACTACACAGACTATGAAACAGACAAGTTTCCTTGTGCCCTCAGGATGCACTGATACCTAGGATTTGAATGCCATGCCAATACAAGCAGACCACAGACTACATTTTGGTATCAAAGAAAATCCCAGATTCTTACATGTTAACAAGAGTAGACCTACCACCACAAACATCTCACAAAAAGAACTTCAATTTCTACCCAATTCAAATATATTCAGTTTCACATTTATCACTTTCACTGAGTGTTAGCCTTCACAGATACAACTGAAATGGTATTAATGCATCCTCAGATTGGACAGAAAATGTATTGTCTGGTCACCGATTAAAGTGATACTACATGGAGGGGGTTCAGTTACCAGATTTAATTTAGTATTTCCGTTCAATAGTGGTGTGAGGTGACCATTACTGCTGCTGCTGTTGTCACCATTCCCCTCAACTTTGGCCTTTGCATGGAATAAACAGCACATTGGAGACAGTGTCATGTTAAATGACATGGGGCTTTAAGGGGAAAAACATGTTGGCAAAAACCATTAAGCATTGATAGCATCAGGCACTACATGCAAAAAGTCTGGATCAAAGTTGTTGTTGGTGCAGCTTGCACAAAAAGCCTCAGAGCTCACATGAGATTCCACAGTTTGGCTGGTCAGCAGGTCTTATGTGGCACATGCAGCTCATTGATGCCTTACCTTGGCAATATTGCGTTGCTGGCTGGGAGCAGAGCTGGTAATCAGGGCTTCGCTGCTCTCTACCATTGGCTTATCAGAGCAGCCGCTGGAGGTGGAACCAACCTCTTCCTCTAACAGTAGCCTCCTGGACATTTCCTCATCATACTCTTCTTTTGATTTTCTGAGGACAGAGTAGCAGGAGAGAAAAAGAAAGTGTCTAATTTTACCAGTTTCCCAGAGCTAATTGTTTGAACTTTCACTATGAATAAATTATTCCAAAAGTAATTTCTTCTGCAAATCCTGTAACTGGTCCTGCTACAGACTATTCAAGAGCCCCTTTGGACTGTTTCAGGGTATGTTTAGTAACCAAGGTGTGATAATAGCCTTGTTAATCTAGAGTTAAATTGGCTCTATTGTCCGTTTAGCTTTTGGCAAATGGCACGAATGGACTAGATACTAGAATAAGACATGGACATCAGGGATTTCCACGTTCCATGGCCTAGCTTGCTCACAGGCATCACCGGGGAACCACACACAGATCCTTTAATTTAATTTATTTAACAACTTTAATTGCCTTAGGTGAGACTTCCGCGAAACATTTACCAGGCGGTATACAGATAGGTATACAGAGGCCATGTAAAAGAGTGAGAATAGGATGGTTTATCATTTCACTGTTCTAAGAAAAGCTTCAAAGGATCATCATGACGATCATCATCATGAAAGGAAACACCAGCATGATGATCACTCTCTGTGATGGTGACTTTATGACGGCCTTTTCAGAAGTGCTCACAATTATCCAATTATAGCCATATGAGACTAATGAAAAGATACTGATTTGTGTCATGTATCAATCAGAATTTGTCTAAAATTGTTTGCACACAGAAATGCACACTATAACGATACTGAATAAATGACAGTATAGTTGCATTTCAGCATTTTGATCATAGTCATTTCAGCTGTTACTGTGACTGTGCTTTGTCAGAAATCCTGTAAAGATTTTTATAGCATCCAAAAGGACTGACTGAGATAGTGATAGCACAGCAATATATTTGGACTGTCAATCAAGCCTAAAACTGTTATTGACCTGTTTTATTCTAATGGTACTCTAACCACAGTGCAGCGGGCAAGAGACAAATTCAGCTCAGTCAAACAGACCTGAGACTGCTGTGCTCTAGAAGGTTCTTCTTCCATTGCATTAAGTTTTCTCACCAAACCACTGGCTTTCATTCATGTCAGTATAGAATGAAAGTCAATTTGCAGACTTGTCTGAGATTGGTCATTCTGCTCCATCACAGACAACATTTACTCACATTAAGATTCTCAAGGTATGTTATTATTGTAGTTGCAATTGGCGGAAAGGAAAGGAAAACAATTCCTTCATGGTGCAATCATGTGTTTGATGGGAAGTCAGTTGCACAAAAGTATTGTATTGATAGTATATGTTGTCAGAAAATATATGTCAGAACACAACAACCAAACTTGAAAAGAAAAATTTGTCGGTGTAAAAGTTTGTCCAAACTGGGTTCAGATCAGATTGAAATGAACTGAATCCAGCGGAGATCTGGAAGGCAGGAAATGCTGGCTAATGCAGTGTTGATAAGTAGCCAAGGTTCCCCCGGTAAGACAAAGGGGATGAAAACACTATTTTCTCAGTTGCTTGTTTAGTGTCAATCCCTCCAACCTAAATTAGCTGAACCATAAGGAGCTTAACTGCGGTCCTATTAGACTCAGTATGTTCTAGTTGGTGAGGCTGCCACTGGCAAAATCCCATTAGAGAGCAGCAGTGGGAGATTCTATAAACCTGGGCACATATGGGCAATGGGCACTGAACGAAGATGTGGACATATCAGAACAGTATAATGAAGAAAAAACTAATTAAATGACTGAATTAATTAATTAGTTAAAGAAAATTAAATAAATACACATTTATTGACTTAAAGTAGAAGGTGTCTTAAAGACTAGGTTTCCATGTTAAGGTAATTGTGATATTTCAGCCTAAACGAATAAAGAGAAAACACTTGACATTTTACATAAAAACTGTCAGTGATTGCAGTCTCACACTGCTGATTTTCATGCTTTCTCTCAGAATTGAGAAAGTAAAACGTCAAGGCACATGAAGATAAGATTATTAGCTAACCACCCATAACATCACACATCTACAGTTCATGGGATCAAAGTATTTCTTTGATTCTAAATACTGTATGTATCGTTCATCCACGCTCAATGTCAACTTCAATGGAAACGATTCAAGTCAAAATGTCAAAGCATATCAAAGAAATTAAAGACACTGCAAAGACTTTTTGTGTTTAGGATAACCCTTTAATTCCCTTTTGTGTGTGTGTGTGTGTGTGTGTGTGTGTGTCTGAGAGAGAATGAGACAGAAAGGAGGAGAGAGAGAACAAGTGACTTACTTGAGAACCTCCTGCAGGATTTTCATCTCTTCCTGCTGCAACTCTGTCATCACATCCACACCATCAGTCAGACACTCTGGGAGGGCCCCTACACACATAAGCATAAGCATATTACTTGCAGCTTTATAAGTAGTGTTTTCCTGTTTGTGAGTGTGATTGGGTGAATGTATGTGTGTTAATCAAGCCTACCGTTTCTTTCTTTAATGACCCTGAGGGCTTGAAGCTGCAGCTCCATGTTCTTCTGGACCATCAGTGAACGAAACATTTGGAAGTCATCTGTAGCCAGAACTGGCTGGAACACTGACTGCACAACAAAAACAACTACATGAGACCATGATAAATCACAAAACCCACAAGATAATGATGAATGACAGGCATTACAACTAGGCAGAAAGAAGCACCTGACACTGTAGAGAATGGGCCAGTATACACAGCCACATATACACAAGCACATGAGTGCTGATATAGGTTGAACATAATATACGTTATGTTGATGCCAGTCGTTATCAAGTAAATTAAAGACCAGTTTATTTAAATATTAGATATTGTTTTGGTATTTTACTTATTCTGTTGGCCAAACCTTCTGTCTCACTGAGGTATTTGAATTTTTCAAGATGTGACTTTGATGTCTGGCTACATGAGATAAGCTAATTCTAAGCCATGAAGAATAAATGATAAATATCCATTGTTCATATAAGGGTATCATTTCCCCGTTAGCCTCCAACAGATCAGAACAGGATGTACTGTACGTCTAGCATGGTAGACACTTGATTCCGGTTCCTTCAAAAATTAAGCTCTGTCCGTAAACAGAGAAGTACTTAGGCCTAATCTTTCACATTAGCTTCCTGTCTGTATGCAAAGCTCTGGCCCCCATCTAAGCATGGCAAGTCTTACTGACCCACCTCTAATACACGTTCAGCGTTCTTAATACAATTCAACTGGGTCACCAGCGTCTCAGTCTCCATGCTCAGCTTCTCTCTATCACTTTCTCATCCTCACCATTTCCTTTTGTCAGTCTCTCTTATCCCGCACTGTTTCTGCCTGAAGCTCAAACCCACAGTGTATCCTGATTCTCTGAATAACTTAATCTCAGAAAAGATGCAGTCAGCCACAGAAGATAAGTTTTAAGAGATATGACACTGTAACACATGCCTCTGCATCTCACTGTACTCCATCTGTCTACTGCATCCCAGTTGACTACAACTGAAAGTCAGGTCCTCTCCTCTAATCAGTGTGGATGCTCTAAAAAGAAAAAATATTCAGTGAAGATACAATGCTATGTGCTGGACTTCTCATATTAGCCTATACAAAGTAACTGAACAACTAAACAAGCAGACCGGAGTTATGCAGAAAAACAGTCTGAGATATGACCATGTTTCTGCTATATCATTATAATTTCACACAGCTAATGTAAAAAATAATTTTGACATAATTTTTTGTTTTCAATATTCTATTGCTACATAAACCGCACCAGCCAAACCCTATGAAAAATATGATTATAGATGTGGTACATACTCTGCCAGTGTGAGATAGTGAGAACTAATTTGCTGCTGCTGCATTGCAGTATTACAGAAAAAAAAATCTTGCATCCATGATGGGTATTGAAGTGTGTTTTCAATTAATAAAGGTAAATTACATTTTTTACTGCAGAGCTTGACAAAGTTTGTTTTCTGGGACCTCTGCCATACAGGACACAAAAGTGAACTTAGCAAAACAAAGCATTTGAACTACTGTTTTATTTTTGCATGGGTGCACTGGAGGGCTGATTCTGCATTAGATTTAGGCACCTTGTCAATTATTCCAAAACATTTGTGTATAGTCTGCCATAAGGACAACTGCAACATTTGAGTAAAATGTCAAAAGTGGCAACAGCATGAACAACAGTATCTCATATCAACTAAAACTGTTTTAGTTTAAAATTGCATGGTTAGACTAACACACCAGACAAAACCTCTGCTTGCTGTGAAATGCGACTACTGCAACAGTTAATCTTTGTATTAGAAGATTTTCACCTGCTTTGCAGACTTATCTCAGGGGTAATTAATGAGATCCAAGTATCCTGAGTCCAAATCTCCATTTCTGCCAATCTGGCACAGCCACATTATTGATCAGTGCCAAGGAAAATCTATGAATAGACAGTAGAATTTTAAACTGTAACTAATATTATCTTAAAATTCCTACTCCGGTATATAATATACTTTTAAAATATTCACGTTATCTTGCAAGCTGTTGTCTCAAACAGCTTGGGCGAACAGACTTGAAAAACACATGCACACTCAGTTGTGGAAATGCATTTTTGGTACGTGTGCCCAGTTGCACCTGAACAACAAACATGAGTAGGCCACTGGGCACCAACACCAGACTTGATAATTACTGAGGGAAGGAGTCCACCTGTTTGCTGATGACCTTCTTGCACTCTACTTAGTGTAATATCCAGTCAGGACACTGTTTGGGTAATACACTTCAGTCTAACAAAATCCTTGCACTTGATATAAATTTAGTTTAGGATAAAAACATAATTTGTTTGTAGGTTACAGTACTGTGCTAAAGTTTTGCACAATTTAGATGTTAATATTGTTATCCATAACACAATACCATCAGGGAGATGTTTGATTGGTCCCAAATTCATACTGCAAGATGACAACAACCAAAATACACATCCAGAACTATCTTAGGCAACAAAAAGAACAAGGGGTCCTGCAAACAGATGGTATGGCCACTACGGAGCCCTGATCTCAACATCATGGAGTAATTCTGTGATTACCTGAAGAAACAGAAGACACTGAAACACCCTTAATCTACAGAAGAATTGTGACAAGTTCTCCAAGATGCTTAGAACCTAGTACCTTAAAAAACTGGGTGCAAGCAAAGATCGTCAGACCAACTATTGATTTCATTATTTTACTGAATTTTGTATAAAGATAAATAAAAACTATAGATGGCATTATTTTTGAAAGAATCCTCCACTTTACTTTTAGTGTCTAAAACTTTTGAACAGTACTGTATGTCACAAACTGGATTCTCATTTTGCTGATTCATCAGCTAATATCTAATGGATAGATGGATAAGGGAGAGACAGAAACTAGCTATGTTTTGGCACCAGGTGAAAAGCAGCATAGCTGGGCTTATGTAAGCAAATCCCATCCTTGATTCTCTCAGGTTAACTGGCAGGCTGACAGTGGTATGCAAACAGGGATACCTGCAGAGGTTTGGACTTGGCAAAAGGAGAGGTGCATGCATCCAGAAATTGCTGCTCATTGATGCCAACCTCCTGCATGTAATTCTCTAACAGCTTCTCCACCTACAAAAACAAAGCAGTTAACATAATTTCATTTTGATGAATCAGCAATATAAAACTGTTCATTAGTAATGTTGATGAGGCAATGCATGAAACAGGTCACTTGAAAATGAACGTCTATCATTTGACATGTTTGACGAATGCAGATAAAAGAATGTACTCACCAATTTCTTATACTGCTGATGGATTTCTGTATATGATAACTTATTTTCATCTTCGTCATCAAAAACTGAAAAAAAGGCCAAATTAATGCAGCATTTATAGAAGGAAATAACTTGAAATAACGTATTTCCATAGTGGCCTTGCCCAACGTTACTTACTTCCATAGTGGTCTTGCTGAACATTACTTTTACTATGATATGACATGCTACCTTTATCCTCACCTGTCATTTGTAGACAAATGTTCTGAAACACTGATTAGCTCACAACAAGGACGCGTAATAGGTTAAGTATCACGTCAGGTGGTAAAATATCAGATATTACAAACATAACTACGTCAACAATAACATCGCAATCTCAAGTTAGCGTTAGCTTAGCCACCGCGCTAACGGTACAGAAAGGCTACAGAAAAGTACGATAGAGGTAGATATTCAAGACTGAACATGGTAGGTAACTTGTTTTTACCTGTGCATTTGTTCTCCATAAAATCCGTGACAGGAATGACCCATTCGGGACTTCCTAGGTAGCCAACGATGCTCTCAACAACCCATTCACTGTCATCCTCAGCCATGTTGGCTGCTGCTGGGTCACGTTAGCAACAACAGCACCCGCACAGCGAACTTCTTCAGGTGGGCACGTCCAGCTCCGCTACAGCACGAACACACACAGCCCAAACAGACGGGAAGAGACATTTGGTTTATTGTCCCTCATAAACTAGTCCCCATAGCGCGACTCGGTGGCTGCTTGTCCTCTCTTGACTGGACTGTCTCCGAGTAGAATTGCGCACTCATGAATTTGCAGCAGAGTGGTGACGCCTAATCGGTTGCTAAGGTAACTGTTACGTCAGTGCGCTGCTGCTTGAGTCCAGACCATACATCCATGGTCCAGACAGGTACCAGCCTCAGGATCACTGCTGCTACCATGCTGTTTTTAGTTTTTTCTCTATTTCTAAGTCGACTTTTTGAACACAGTTTATACAGTTGTCTCTGCCAATTTGCAGCTCAGCGCAACAGTTAATCTCACATTCAAACACAGGGTAGGGCTACACCTTGTCACTCATAACACAATTGTCTAAAATTCTAACAACCAGTGAGTATCACTATCACTGTATCAATTTTGTCTTTGAAGCAGCATGTTATTTCTATATATACAGTAGCCCGCCATGCAAAATGAGAATCCAGTTTGGGACATAGTACTGTGCAATAGTTTTAGGCTTCCCCTTTGTGGTGGAATGGTAATGATAATAACAAAAAAACACAACAATGGGATATTATATGACAATTATTAAATGTGCATTTAATGAGATTTTACAAATTTTCTGCCAAAACAAGTTAATATGCATAAATGTACATAATATACAAGGAAAGCAACACATGGTTATTAGGCTAATGTCAACAGTGGTGGCAAAGTGTGTAAAGCTGCTTTTCTGTCTGTCTATCTTTATCAGACCGACACACACCCTCATTAGAGATCTTTTAGTGATTGGACACCACATCTTATAGTCTTATAGTCAGAGAGAGGAAGAGTCTGTTGTCTTTCAGCTGTAAAAACATTTTAGTTAAACATCTTTTACAATCAGGTTGAAAATCCCTGTGCGTAGAAATATTTTGACTTGAGATATTTACATATTTTCCACTCTCACTAAAACATATAAATAACATAAGGAGATATTCATAAATTGGATAATTACATAATGCATTTACAAACAGACCATCAATAAATGCAGATACAAATAAAAAAAAGCTTTGTTGGCTCATTAGCTTTCAGTGTCTGAGCAGTAACTTCACAAAGTGTAGTTTGATGGATGTGTTCACAGTATAAATACAAAATACAGTTTTTTAATATATGTGCAACTGCTGACAACCAGTTTATTTATGATATGTCACTTTTGTCATGTTGGATGACTTCACTACAATGCTGCACTGGCTGTACTATCATTATTTGGATATTGTGTGTCATTTTATCTATGCAATTAAACTTCAAGGTACAAAAAGCTCTTAACACCTGCAGACTGACAGCTGATCCAGCAGTGATCCAGCTGTACTGTCATCATTGGGCACTGATGTTGCCACAGATGATAGGTCGAAGAAAAGGATGTTGCATCTCTTCTTTTGTGGGAGGGACTGAGACACGACAACAGGATGCAAGTGAAGGAAACAGGGAAATATTTTAAGGTAATGAAAAGAATCTAATTCCTTTGTGAATACTTAATAGTTATATGAAAATGCATATTGAACTGTAAAATGTTATTATAGGCCTATTTCATTCAATTACAAGCCAGAACATTATTGTTTGATTTAAAAAATAAGAATAACTTTATTATTATTTATTTACACCAGTTATCAAAATAACTCATTACAGTTTTTAAAATGTATTTATAAAAGTGAGCAGCTGATGTTACTGTGAAATGTAGCTTAATGCTACCCTGTGTTCAAGAGTTAGTAGCTAAAGCTAGCCTTGCAATATTCAGAGGTTATGAGAAGCTAAGGCTACCTTTGTAATTGTAAGGCCCAAAGGTGTGCAGCTTATGTTAGCCTAATGTCCAAAGGTAAGCTAATGCTACCCTTGAAATTTCAAAAAGTAGAAGCTAATGCTAGTCTTACAGTGTCCATATCTTAGAAGTTTAGAAGCTAATTATAGCCTTATAATGCCCGATTAAACTTGGCACTGTATTACTTAGCTTCATGCTAACCTAGCCCACAAATTAGTAGCCAATGGTACTTGACATGTTTTAATTTTATCTTACTATTAAATTTATAAAAATGATCAGCTAATGTTACTGGCACTGTGTACTGACTTCATTGGTTTAATGTGAGCATCTTTGTCCCCTATACTCACCTTGGACTTCAGCAGTTCTAAAAGGGGAGGTAGTCAAACACTTCCCTGTTTTATGCTCTTGCATCAATGATGTCACAGGTTATACCGTGACGGTGGGGGTGGTCACAAGTTTAATATACTGTGTTCATAACTGTTTGTGTGATTTGGAGTGATTATACAGTTTGTTTACAACATTATAATTCACGTCTTGTTTGTAATGTTTATGTTTACTGATGAAAAATAACTTTGTCAAGCAATCTTTCTAGATGAGATAGACTTGGACCCCATGAATGAAGTTTGGTTCTGCCCAGGCTAATTGTTAAGTAGAGGAAGGCACTATATAAGCAGTTGCTCTTTCTCACCTGAGAGTGATGGATGTCTGTACAGGTGGGAGCTTTGTGGTGGTCATGATATGCCTAATGCAGCTGACTTTATCTTTACCTTGACTTTAATTTTGTGAAACCCATTGTTAGCAGCTGAAGTTACTGAACTAATTGAAACCTAGCAGCTTTATTTGGATATTATAATCAATGGCCATTTTAGCAGCTAAGGTTACTGACATTTTTTCACATTGCATTAATTTTAGATTCATTATGCTATTATTTTAGTTATTTTTTAACCATACATTACTATTAACTTTTTAGTGGGCAAAGCTAGCAGGTAAAGTAACATTTCACATCAATATTAAATTTGTGATGGCCAGAATTAGCAGATAATCCTTTTCCCTTGAAATTAGATTGTGGAGACCAAACTTGGCAGCTATAGTAATTGAAAAGTTTTAATTTTCATAGGACAATTATGTTTAATGGCCAAACTATGCAGCTAATATAACATGAGTTTTTCTTCTAATTTTATCATTAGATCTTTGATAACTGTGTGTGTGTGAGAGAATTAGTTAACTGTGGTGTTACCTTAACCTTATAGTGAACTGGGTTGTCTTGTGTGGTGAATCAGGTGAATATCATTTGCAATTCTGCCCACAATCAGCCATCATGCTCCCTCTAGCAACCTGGATACTCCTCTGCTTGCCATAAGGCCTGTCTGTTCAGGATATGGGACCTGACTGACAGGCACTGTACAGTGATGTACTAAGGATTACCTCCTGAAGTAAGCCATGTTGCTTAAATTAACAGCCTTTGTGTTAAAGAAAGCCAAGTCACTTATACTTAAACACACCCACATACACACACAGAAAAAAAAAGGTAAGACTACTTAGTATTTTTTATTAAGAGTAAAAATGTAGTGATCAGATAATTCAGTAATGTGCATTAACAAGGATATTCAATAAATATACATTCCTTTTGTATTTTTAAAGGTATATAAGATTTCATTAATATCATCTCTTGAAAGGCTCATAGCTACTGTGCACAGGTCATAAAGGCAGGGCATGCAAGCAGCAGTCATGCCAAAAAGATTCAACAGAATAAAGGTAGGCAACATTAAAAAGCTTTTACAGTGAGCATCATTGTGTTTAACTATGCAGCTATCTCAAACCCATCTACTTTCCATTTTGACTTCAAGAAAAAGTATCTTTTTCAGTATCAAGTTTGCTTTAGTGTCAATGGAAGGATAGACACACAGTCAGTACACAGGTCATAAAGAAACATTCCTTTTTTTTTTCATTTGCATGTATTGCATGTGCATTGCTGATTTGAAGAACTACGATAAGTCTCCATGGAAAATATGACTTTAAAGGCGTACTCTTGGTCCATGCTAACTGGAAAATAGTCACTGTTTTTCATGATCAAAATAGTTTTTAAACAAATAAACAAGCAAAGTACATGAAGACCTGGGTACAGGGAACATTCGCAGCATTCCTGTTCCAGTATAATAATCATACACAATAGCAGCATAAAGTAGTGAATCTGACTACAGTCAGATTACAAGCAGTACAGTGTGGGGAAGTAGTGCTTTACAATAAAACATGAATATTATTATTTAGATAATGCTCTTCAAGTTCTACTCACTCTGTATGGAGAAACTGTGATTGTGTTTGCTTTATACAAGAGATTTATGAATCAGTTTATGGATGGATTAATGGTTGTGTGTCACACAGAAAGACAAAGTCAGGGCACACATATAGCAGCAAAAAAATATCTTTAAAGTAAATCAGTTTTTTGCATGTTGGAATTAAACATTAGTTTTTTTTATTACGTATGTTTTATACTTCACTGTTTTATTAGCATTGCTTGATTCCATGTTATACTGTATATGTAGTGTTTTTCAAAAATTAATAATTTTATCATCTCTTGATATCAAGAAACAGTAACTATCAACATATTTTCAGTTCAGACTTTAGCAGGAAAATCATTTATATTCTCCTGTCGCTGCCTTTTATATATTTTATATAAAATATATAAAAGGCAATATATAATTTATATGAACTTTCATATAAACAATTGTAAACCAAGATATATATATATATACCACTTAATCAAGACTGATTTTTAAAAATGAACATGTCATATTGCAGCAGTTAACAGAGTTCTTGTTCTCATGACATCCTCTAGATGGCAGAAGTTATCCATCATAACCAGATTCCAATTGTCAAAGGGTGTGTTTCTGACTGCCAAATGTTTGATCCTCCACTGCTAATAGTGGTTCAGCAGCTTGAAACCTGTCTTTACATATATGGAACATATTATGACAGGACTGAGTCTGTATAGTGGCTTATGTTTAACCTGCTTCACAAACAGAGCAGGCACAACTATACTGTACTGTACTGTATACAATACATATTTGCTCTGAAAACTGGTGAAACACTAGATGATTTCCACCAGAAATCAGGTGTTATAGTATTTTAAGGTGGCAACTAACAATTACATTCATTATTGATTAAGCTGTAACTTACTGATTAATCGATTGTTTGGTCCATAAGATGTCAGAAAAGTACAAAAAAAAAATAAAAATCCCATCACAGTTTCTCAAAGCCCATGTTTACATATTCAAGTGTCTTGTTGGATCTGATCCATAGATAATCGGTTCGTCAGCTGATTACCAGAATAGTTGCCAATTAATTTTTTGACTAATTGTTTGAGCTTTGTATTATTTTACCACATTGACGGTCTGTTTGTCTTTCATTATTACAGCTAAGCTTAGTGCACTGTGATAGCTTCAGTTTACCAGCAGAATTAAATTATTAAATTCTTCCTGCTAATTGAATTCAGACAAAACACTGATTACACCTGTGCTGCTTTTGTAGTAAAGCACTGACTGTAACACCCTGCAAATTGTTGATGAGGACATCATTATGTAGCTCTCTGGTAATGTTTTCCTGTTTCCTTGATTAATGGCTTTGTAAGGTAAAAATGTTTCTACAATATAAAACCACAACCATTGTTGCTTAAAGTTGCACTCATAGGAGAGAGTGTGCGACATGCAATCATTCAAAATTCAAATGAAAGTTGCTACAAGCTTTCAGTCAAGTGTAAATGACTTGTTCTTTACTGACAACCCTGTATATTAAGATCCAACTGCACATGGTAAAGGTAATATATATTCAGTCACAGGCATGACATTACAGGCCACTATGTCCTTGAGGTTAAACTGCAGCAACTGCAACTGTCAAGCTCTGTTAAAAATTCATTGTATTGATTTGGCTGACAGCAGAGACCCTCTGGCCCCCTCTTGAAAAACTGCTCCCTTAGTATTTGTTCAATAAGTTACAACATTGCATTTGGAAAGATCCTATAGATATCCATTCAATGCTTCTTCTTTTCCCAGGATTTGAATATGGAAACAGCAATGATTAAATATAAGGACCCGTACAGATCAATAGCCCCTTCCTCCAGGGAAAAAGTATAGTAATGAAGGCTGTAATCTGCAATTGGCATAGGACATTTGGAATTATGTAATGAACACAGTAAAATAGATGCTTCATCTAATTCAATTATGACCCATATAAAATAAAATATTTTAATATCCAGCTGTGGAGAAATATTTGATGCGTCATGTCTTAGGTTGTTTCTAGTGTGTGTAAAATAACTAATTTTTGCTCCTCAGTGTTTGTTTAAAAATCCTTCGTAGGAATCTGTGTAAATAAATATCAAGTCTAAATAATTTTAAGTGGTAAACAGTTCTACATATTTTAACAGAAAAACGTTGTTCTTGTGTCCAGTGACACAGTTGAATAAGTTATTTGGCAGGTCCACATGAGCAGTTTCCATTAATTTAATTACACAGATGTAGCCATTATTAAACTGATTTGGTCTTGGATAAAGATCATAAGTTACTGGTTGTAGTTAATAAGTTTGCAGTACTATTTCAACACGCAGTAACTTACTCAGAATACTGCTTGATAAGCACAAAATTATTTACACAAAGTATCCACTATCAATCTGAGTATGTGAGGAAAGTCAGAGATCCACAACATGAAAAACTGTGTGGTAAATCTTTCACTTCTTTGGACTGTGTCTTAAATGCTACCTATAGCTAGTGTAGCTACATATGCTCAATTGCCTCCCATCTCTGCATACGCATGCAGGTGTCATTCCCCCTTTTAAAGGGTGATAAATTAAGACTGCCATAAACAGTTTAAATGACACAATAATTAGGCAATCATTACCTCTGAGAGACCTCAGCAAGGACAGAAAAAAGATTGAATGAGTAGTAAGATTGTAATAAGATATTACAGAATATTATCAGTATTTCTTCTTAAGCAAAATGTTTTGATTTCATTCTGAAAGAATCAGTCAAAAGTGCCATACTGCAGAGGATTGTCCACTTTCTCTTCTGAGTTCTTCCATGTACATTATCAAGTCCCGCAAACCAGATATTACTTAAATTTTCAAATTTTTTGGTTTTCTACAAAATTACAATAATAAAATGCTACAAAGACCCAGTGATGTAAGTCCATCACCACTGGCAGAGAGTATTTTTCCAAACGTATACAGGGAAAAGGAGCCCATCATGCTTTACGGTCACAGTGATCCATTGGAGATCTCTCTGCTGCCGCTGCTCTCAGATGACTGACTGGGTGGATCCATTGGATTGTCAGGGTAACTACCTTTGATTTGTACCTGTCTGGTGTCAAGGTGACTTATTTTGACTTGTCCCCTCTCTTGATAACTGTCTATAATTGGCAGCAGTCCATTTTCAATGCCTTGGGGACTAATTTTGCTCAGTCTATCATCGTGGTGCTTTGTTTTCACAGCCGCCTGCCCGTCATCTTTGTGACTGTTTCTCATTGGTGCAGGTCCGTTATCGTGCTGGCCTGTTCTGATAGGCACTGGTCCATTGTCTAGGTGGCTGGCTTTTACTGGCACCAGCCTGTTGATCTGGTGCTTGTTGCAAACAGGGATCTTATTGGCCTGAAGGGAGCGGGTGTAACGGGAAAACCAGTCCCTGTCAAACGCAGCCCGTAGCTGCTCCACCACTGTGGCGTTCCTCTCTTCGATACCCTCTGACTGGCTGATCACCAGGCCTGCCCCTGCATTGAAGGTAAACTCATTCCCCACCCAGTCAAGGTTACCTGTTACGACACAGAGGAGGAAACAAATAAGTGAGCACAGTTTTACTTTTCACTTGTTTATATGTGCTTACAGTCTTTACGCTAAACTAGGCTAATCTCTTCCCATCTCTACCTCCATAGTTAATGTAGAGAATTCATAGTGATATTAATCTTCTTAGAAACTGCACTTCCCAAAATGCTGAACTATCCCCTTAAGACCACTGAAAATGAGATCTGCATGAAGTGAACAAAGGACACAGTCATTAACTCTAGTCGATGAGCTCACCTAAATATATGGCTCGGTCTGTCACCATAAACCTGTTGTGGTTTATTCCCTGGAGAGTGCCATCCCTCTGCACTCTGGGGTTGAAGAACTTCTACACACACACACACACACACACACACACACACACACACACACATACACACACACACACACACACACAGTGCTGCTGTGAGAACTGATAAAGTGTATCTTAGAGTTGTTAACAGTAGTGGCCTTGTACTTACAGCTTCCAGTGAGCAGTTGGCCTGCTCCATACAGAGACTCCTCAGGGACCAGATGAAGTTGAAAGTAAGTGGTTGAGTCTCTTCCCAGCAACTTATCAGCAAACGAACCCGCACTTTCCTCAGGATCAGAGCCTCCCGGATAAGGCCGTCGATACGAGACCAGTACCTTGGCACAGATACAGACACACACACTCAACTGCTGGAACACAGCCAGATGGACATGCAGGCATACACAGAGTTTAATCACGTGAATCAAAGGAAGGCATTCAGACTTTTGATGATAAATAATTCCAAAGAAAGCGACTCTTGCAGTGGCAGAGTGGTTCTAACTTGTGGGCGTTGCTGCTGAGGAGGGGCAGGTAGTCGATGATGGAGATGTAAATGAAATGGCGGGCTTCTTGGATGACCCAGGAAATGGCTTCCAGATCACTGCTACGATCTTTGGGGATAAAAACATCTGGGGAGCTCTGTCAACAGAAGAGCAAAGGCAGCGAGGACAATCAGGAAGTGTTGGTGTTGGGTGATAAGATGATGCACAACCAGGGATTGTTTACTCCTCTCTGAAGAAATACACATGGAAGAGTTGTCACAGATGTTTATTACAACAATGATGTTAACCCACAAAGGACAGAATTACCATCATGACCATTAACACTTATCACCATAACAACCAGCTCAGCTCTCATCATCATTATTGTTCACCTAAAGGACTATTGGCTGAACAGTGGGTCCGAGTGGGCCTGTAACAAATTTACAGAGGTCCTGACGGCTGGTTTTAAGGCACAGTTTCTGTATATGGGCTGTGTGCATTTCTCTGTAGACTGAGCGCTTTGAGTGTGAATATAGCACCTAGACCTGTTATAAACAAAATAAGACATGGAAATCTCACTTCATACAATATGGGACCTTTAAGAATTGTAAGGATCTGTCCAATGGTGAGTGGAAACAAAAGGGCATCTGGTCTTGTGGATGATGTTGGTGCTCTTTAAGAACATGACACTTTCATTAAGATGTATGATCTCAGCTGCTCAGACAGACAGTTCACCTCTGTTATAAGGGCATTAATTACTGCTGTAATTCATCTTGTGAAAGACTCTTTAACTCAAACAAGGATTGCAGCTATGCCACCACCTCTAACCATAGATACCTTCAAGAAATGGAATAATCAAATCATTAAAGAACTACTCAAATACATTTAGATTCTAAATCAGTTGTACACCTGTAATGAAATCCTACACAAATACTTCAAGTAAATGTTATTTATGTGTTTTGTAAAATATTGCTTAAGCTGGTCAACACTTTTACTCTTTTTTGCATGTATGTGTATTTGCAGATTTTGAAAAGACTTTGACGACTGGATCTCCATGGTCACCTGCTTGTCCCAGATATTTCTCTAAAAGAGAAAAGTACAAGAATGATGGATTTCTGTAACCTAGCAACCTGTTTATTTCGGCAAAATATTATATAAACAAGTGTCGATTTTTATGTTCACCTTCTTTTGGAGCACATTCTGGTGAACTTTTGTTGCATTCAAAGTCTCTTGAGTATATGGAGGCGAAGTGTGGAGTGCGACTGTGCATGTTGTGGAACCTTTTCTGCGCCTACTGTGATGATCTGTTTTCTTTTCTTTCTTTTTTGTGGTTACTTGTGTGTCTGTTCTGTTCAGCTGCATTAGACCTGGAGATGAGCTCTGTCTTTTTGATTGTATGAACTTGGGAGTTCAACAAAAGTGGAAAAAATCGGTTAGACTTGTGTTAACAGGTGCCGCACAGGTGAAACAAATTTCACTAACGACAACTCAGTTCCATTAAATGTCCCAGTGAGCCGGCATGCACAACACTGAAACGCTGAAACTAGCTCAACTACATGGCAGTTGTATTAATGTTATCATTTTACACCAAGGCATGTCAAAATGTCTGCTGTGAAAATTTTTCAATAGCAATAAGGTGCTTTCCTGATTCAAGATGTCAAAATGTTGGGAAAAAGGATTTTATTTCTCCACAACTGAAATACAGACTTATCCACAAAAGCAAGAGCTTGTAAAGTATAACTATAGACCACAAATGCTAAACACTGTTTGCATAGTAAAGGAGGAAACTCAAGAAATTGACAGATGTCTTATATGTTAAACGATCACTTAAATGTTTGTTTTTGAAATCTAACTCTTTTATACAAGCCTGCCTCCTTTGTGCCATCAGTACAAGGTGTCTCTTGTATTATGTGTTGGCACGTTAACCTTGTCCTTGATGTATCCACAAAGAATTTCCACACAGTAAAAGAATTGATATGACTAATGTACCACACAAACAATGACTTACAGAGATGTAGGCCTGAGCCTTGGTGCTGTTGAGAGTGAACTCCAGAGGTGTGTTCTTGTTGAATAAAGCAAAGAGGCGCTTGGACCAGAAGGAGGGGATGAAGTCTTTATATTGAAGCCCCCAGTACAGACTGAAAACTCTGTGGAGGTCCAGAGCCAGACAGCTGCAGTTGTACACCAACACACCCAGCTCCTTCCTCTGGAAAACAAACAAAACTTCTGTTAGACCAACTTTAGCATGGACACAGCCCACATTTACACCCATATCTTCATAATTATCCTGAACATTATCATCATTACTTTCACCATCATTGAGAAAAATGCTCGACCATCGTTACAGCAAGTTACAGGATTCTTCTACAGTGCTTCCTCTCTCTGCTCTCATTTTTCTTTCTTTGCCTGCTGCAGAATTTTCATTTCAAAGAGACACTTCTCCATCTCAGCCTCTCAGCTTCTAAATTGCCTTCTCTGTCTTTCATTTCCTCCACACACTCATTCTCTCCCTGCAGTGTTTATGAGAGCAAAGTATCCCTAATAAAGCTCAGATCCCACTCACTAAAGTCTTACTTAACACGGCCTCTTTTGTCGCCCTCAAAACATACCAACATGTGATCTGAAAAAGCTAAAAATACAGTCCATAATGTGACTTCTCATGTGACTTTCACAGTCATTCATGAAAATAAGATTTGATATCTGTCATTCGATTCTGGACTCTGGAGGCGTGTTGCTTCCACTTAGTGTGTCTGCTGAAAGCAAAAACAAACAAATGGCCTATGTCTGCAGTTGTGCATATAGCTGCACGAATTTTTATGTAAATTACCAATAATTAATAGTTGATGGTGAAATTTACATGTATGAATTTATATCTCTAAATTGAATTCTTTAAGAATTACAATCAGGTGTACAGTATAAAACACATATGTCCAAATAAGGTTTGATTTTTTGTTGGCCATCTTGAGCTCCTACACTTCATCTTCCCAAATCATCTTCCCCTTGTATCTTTGGGTGCCTAAATATAGATGAAGCTGCCTAACAAACAGGACTACACTTCAATGAACCAAAGATAACCAGCTTTGAAGATGGAGATGAAAGAATGGCCACTTTCTATTTTTGGATGCCATCACCTTACATGCCCTTACTTAATGCTCCCATGCATCCACTCTATGACTTTTTGAAGAAGAGGCACTGACATGTAACTCATGCATAATATAAGATGACTATCTGTACAATTTTTTTTTTGATAGGGCTCATAACTTTTACATGAATGCAATGCTGCATATGGTGCAGTTTGGATCCCTCAACTAAACCCTCTATCCAAAAACATGTAAACATCACCACAGAGTAAAAACTTAAGGCAAAGCCCTTATTTAGTGATTGTCCATGGTACACAGACAGTATATGTTATATAATCTGTCTGCATAAGTTATTTTAGATTCTGCAGATTTCAAGAGGAATTTCAAATAAAATGCTGTACGTTTGAGTCTGAGCCAGTAGAAAAGGCTAATCAAAGCACTTCACATTAGGGAATACAGGACTTGTTATGTAATTAAATCTCATGTAAATCTGTAAAGATGGATACAAAATGACAACACATGGTGTAAACTGTAATTGTAACAATTTGCATTAGACATCTGAAAAGATGAATGACAGAGTGAGCTCTGTCATTCATGTCTTTTGTGTGTGTATATGAATATGTTTAAGTATAAATGTGAGTGAAGGACTACAGTATGTGTGTTTCTGTGTGTATTCTGTAATGTGTGGTGTTTTTTTTAGATACTGTGGCCAGGGATCTCCAGTCCATGCTGGCGCTGCCAATGTAGAAATGTCTCCTGTCGACCACCCAGAAGGAGGAGAGGAGTTGGCCTTTGGTCAGCGCTGTCATGTTCACATAGTGGACCTCAGCATCTAGAAATGGAGAGAAAGTGAAGCAGAGATGTCAGGAAACAGACAAAAGGCGGCAAGAAGAAAAACAAAGAGAGGCTGAAATAAAGTGACTTGTATGTGAGACAAGGAGAGGGATAAAAAGAGATCAGACCACAGACAGAAAGACACAAAGGCAGATGAGAGGAAAGATGGAAAGTGAGTGAGAGACTGAAAGGACTGAGGAGGACAAATGGGGAGAGGGGCCAGTCAGCAGACTAAACAGACAGAGCTAAGCTGCAGCATGTTTGAACACAAACAGACACACAGAATATATAATACAGTGAGAGTGAGCGCTGACTGTGTCTGGCGAGCATCTTGAGCTCTGTCGAGTCAATCATCCCGCTGGAGATCTTCAGCTGGATTCCTTTTGCTTTTAGCCCCTGCAGCCTGGACAGCAGAGCCCTGCCCTGAGGCAAACACACCAACAAATCACCGCTGTCACATGAAATTCATGCAGTGTGTATTCAGGCAAGACTCTTGTTTAGTTTTTGGATTTTCATTAATATTGTGACATCATCAGTTGTCATTTATGTGCTATTTTTGTGCTACATTTCCCATGGATCACTTATCTGCACCCAGCCGCTGTGATGTCTTGTTTCTATTTTTTGTGGATTCATTTTGATGAAGTATTCATGTTTGTGGGTGACACTCTTCTTTGTTTGTTCAGCCAGACTTCTGCTCATTCTAACAGCACATCTTAAAAATATCCATAAACTATGTATACTGATTCACTCTTGTATATCACAGCAGTTATTTATGTGCAAATGTCAGAGGTTATTTTGAAGTACAAGAGTGAAACAAAGCTTTCACTTAAACTATCCCACAATGGTTTATCTTAAGAGCTAAAGTGGGATTTTAAAGTTTTGATAAAACTGACATATGAATTTGGTAAACTGGATTCTGGATTTTATTCTGTCAGTAGAGCTTGCTTTACACCAAACCCTGCCAGAAGAAACATGGTTGATATCGGAAAGTTTGTTGTTTCATAACATATTGGAATTTTATAGAATGACTGTTCCAGCTGCTTTGGCAGGAAGCCTGTGTTACAAACTAGGAATGTAGAGATTGAAAGACATGGGTAATTTCCTAGCAGTGTGTGTCTAATAAATTCTACTATTTACTGTAGCTGCATCATGGGAAATGCAGGATCCAGTGTTTCTGAGGCTGGAATAGCTCTGCCTGAACCAGACAAACACAGGCTCTGCTGCCTGAATTTTGATGATTCCCCTTCAAGACTATATCTAGTAAGTCCCTCAGTTTTATGGAAGTTGTATTGCCCTGTAAAGTTTACAATATAAACTTAAATGTTGCAGTAAATAGACATTCCTAAGCTTGTATTCATTCCAAGACAAAGTCCTCCACTGGGTGATATTAATGAGTTTAGTATCAGGGTTTTATGCAGAAAACTTTGCAAGTTAGAGATGAGTCAAAGAAGCCTGAGCAAATCAAAATACCATTTAATGTCTTTGCAGAAATAATCAGCAGCCACAGGAAACTCTTGAATTCCTTCCACTTTTTATGATTTGAGGCGATGTAGCTGACAGTTAAACTTGTGGGTGTCACAGGATTGAGTTGCCACACAGAACTGACAGTGATCCTTCTCAATGTGCCTTCACAAAAATATCAAGGACACAAACAGACGTGCAGTGCACATGGCTGCTACAAGAGCATCTCCACCTCCACCCCTTGTAGCTTTGCCTTTATAGTATATTAAATTTCCTGGTCCAGCCTCCCTCCTGATGAGGTGTCTTTTTTTGGCAACTGTTTGCGGACAGATTGCTGCAGGCTGAAAGGCCATTAGCTCTTCTCTGCTCTGAGGCCTCTGAAGGAGCTTTCCAATCAACAGCCTCTGGCTTTCATTAGATATGACATCTTCTGTTTTTTTTAAAAATAGACCTGTGTGTGTGTGTGTGTGTGTGTGTGAACCGAAAGGCATATGCCAATGACAAACATCCAGTTCAAATCCAAAATGAGCAGCTCGCTTCAAGCAGCCGGAAAATAGTCCAGACTTGCATTTGACCATTAAGTACAATCTTGAAAGGACAGTTATTGATTTCCCACTTTGGGGATCATTTGTGGCTGTTCACTGACATCACACTGTTATTTGGTCTACTTTGACATTATTGTCTGTCTTGGCAGAAGAAGAAATATCTTTTACTTGAATGACTTCTGTGTGTAAACCCGATTACTTGGTGCATTCTGGGAAGCTTTCACTACTTTGTCTTATGGCAGTGTCAAGTTGGTTGGTTGGTCATGTTAGATAGGTATGAGGTGTTAACAGTACCACCAAAGAATGATTTCACAGCTAAACTTCTCAGGTGGTTTTATTCAAATTGCTGTTCAACAGGCAAAATGATGCATTATTTCACAAAAAAGCAAAAATTAGAGAATATTCTCAATAAAAAACATTCTTTTTTTCCTTAATTCCTGTCACATTAATCATCTCATGACCCCAGATTTATCTTATGACCATTTATAGTTCGACTTTGAAAAGCTGCAAGAGTAAAATTCTGCACTTTTATGCTTCATTAACAATCTAATAATGTTGTATAATCTAATAATGATAATATATCACATACAGGGGCAGTTTTTATGCAGAGTGAATACAATTAATTATTATTTATTATACTGTCTTACTTTACCATTTTGCTGATAATACTTTGTGCTACTATGGTAAGAGAGTATTTTCACATTGTTGCATTGGTGCTTTGACTGAAGTAAAGGATCGGAGCACTTCTTCCTCTACAACTGATTATTAAGTAGGAGAGGTGAAGAGGCCAATTCATGCAAAGACACAGAAGAGGAGACAGACAAAAGGTAAAAACAGGCACAAAATTTAAATAAACTTCAGAGTCAAGTCTCTGTAGGCTTGCTCTGGTTTTACCTGTCTGGCAGCCGGCTGGAAGCTGGATTCATAATCAGAGGAGTTGAGGAGCCACAGCGGGGAAACTATCTCTACGACCCGGATAGCTCGGTCCAGTAGGTTGTACAGCCCCACTGAGAGAGGCACGTGGGATGTACCATTGTCCAAGAAGGAGATGTCTTCTGGGATGTTCTCAACAAGCACTGCTCTGTAGAGAATAGTGAGAAAAAAACTGAGCAAAGAAGCATTAAAGGTGCATTGAACAAGGCTGCAAAAATCCAAAAGTGCATCATTAGGCCAGGCCATAGAGACCTGTTAATGGAAAAACGCAGAAGAAATTAAGATGAGGTTCATTGTCTTTCACAAAGCAATTATGTGTTTGCATTAGTGGCAAAATTATTATGAGCTTCAGTGCCACTGAAATGAGGTTATATTTCTTCTTACCTCAGTAAAATCTACTCCATGACAAATTAGCCAAAAGCGCACTTCTTCCACTTTCTCTGGATCGTTAGCCTAATGAGACAAATCAAGATTTCTACACCACCATGCTCTTACCATCATTAAATCTTGTACAGGTTTCCTCTGGCAAGGGCCGAGAATAAGTGAAGGTTGACGTTCAGAGCTGTCAGCAGTGTAGATTCAATTTCACCTAGTCAGGGGAACGGGATGCATTTTTGCTGTATTCTTGTTGGTTTCTCATATAAACTACTCCCTATGCTATCACATGGTGCATTTTAATGTCATCATCAGCAGTCTGGAGCAATATACTGTAGTTTCAGCAGGCATTGTATATGAATAATACAATTAAATCACAAACAAAGGCAATAAAAATTGACTTCATGTCAGATTCAGTGGATTGCATGAAGAACAGAATATCTGCATCCGTGAGTTTATCTGCTGAACAATTCAGTGCAGTCAGGTATTTCTCTTTATAATAAAACTTTACCATTAACCTGAATGTTAAATGATGTGGAAAATGTTCTCAGTGATAGCTGTTTTGCTTTTTAATGTTTGTATACATCACTGTGAATATCCCTGCATTTCCTGTCACGGTGTAATGTCAAGTTATCTGGCTAACCGAGACTCTCTGCTCTCCCTAATGTATTTCCAGTTCCCACTTTACCCCATCGGGATGCCTGAAAACGACAGGGGCATTACCGCTGGAGTCAACAAATTAAATTACCCATGGCAGCCCTAGATCTGCAGCCACACGGAACCAGGCTATTAACAAGCTCCAACACTCACTGCATTCTCCCTGTATCTGGCTTTAGCATCGATTTCTGCCAGCTGGATCTTAACAGACACACAAAAAAAAGGGGAGAGGGAGATCAGCAAGGGTGAGCAGCTCAGATGTAAATCCTGCAGCACCTCTGTGACTGATTATTAAGTCTCTGGATAAAATGCTATCCAAGAAACTAGCAAAGCCACTTATTCACTTGCATGTGATTGGTTTGGTGGACCGGTAGGTTGAGCGTGGACCTAATATGACAAACATTATGTGCTGTGCTCATCACTAAGTCATAGTGAAAGTGTGCATGGTGGCAGTGAAGCAGGGAATATGCCAAGTATAATCTTATACCTTAGGACTCTTATTAAACAGAACATCATTTTAGTCCAATCAACATTATACAAGCACAACCATTAATCTCATCAGTGCAGACATGGATAGAATGATAGCATGACTGAAAGGTCAATTCAATTTGCTGGTTGGTGGTTGGTTTCCTGGTCTCTAACTCCCGATAGACATGTGTGTCTCCTCAGCTGCGAAATGCTCCATTATGTTCCCCAGCTGGTCGCTAACTTTGCCGTGTGTGCTGGGCAGGTAGTGTGCAGTGGGCTTATCTGAAATTGCACAATTGCAATTGACATTACACGCAGTCATTTGATCCACTGTGGATATAACAATATTGATCAGTGCAGCTTTAAAAGCAGCTCCTGTTGTAGTGTGGAGTGTTTTCGTTGTGCTTGTGTGTTGATTGTTCCTCTTAGCCGGCTGGTAAAATGTGAATGTAATCAAATTGCTTATTTGGTCCAAAACTTTGGAGCGCTCAGTGTAACGTTGATGTCGTTGATCAAGTTGGAATCACATTTACGGAGCACCATCTCTAAATTGTATTAGAAAGAGTGTCTATGAACTGGTGAAAAACAAGATTAATTCTCCCTGGTTTTTCAAACTTCTGGCTATGAAACATAGGGGAGTCTGTCCTGGTGGACTCCCTGGTGAGTGCTCTGTAATAACGAATAGATCTTAGCAAACGGACCAGTCAGCGCACAGGGTCAGCCAAAGTGTGACAGCTCAGGGTCTAGCGAGTGCATCACTCAAGGGCACACTGGCGGGAGCATGTGCTGCAGGTGATAATGTACTGGCATTGCATCGAGAGGCAAGTTGCCAGCTGCACAGTATTCCTGGCTAAAGTAAAGCTGGGTCAGGTTTTGGAACGTGGCCAAGGGTCAAACTGTAGGACTCACACTCTCTGTGATGATAACATGCTAATTTCTGCTCATGAATATGCCGATCAATATGTTTATTGAAGCAGAGTTTGGGAGAGTCACAAGTAAAGTCAGTTCATATGTCACTGGGGTTTTTTATTCTGGTGGACTGGTGGTTCTTCCATTTGTCAGACACACAGTTTGAAGACTGAACCCTGAGAGTGAGTGAAATGAAGAATGAAGAGTGAAAATACAAAAGGAAACTAATACAGTGAAGATTAACAGTCATACGTTGTAGACTATTTTTCTTTGTTGTGAAAGGACAGCAGAAAGTAGGACAGCTCCAGTAAACACCTGACGATGAAGAAAAACAAGAATGGATGGAAAACAGATTGAAGAGGAGAGGTAATCTTATTCTGAAGAAAATCCTCTCAGTCCACTCTAATGGCTTTGAGGTATGATGAATGGTGATTCTGAGACTGTTCAAGCAGCCAGACAGATTTTGGTAGTCAAAGAAGAGAAAGCAGGGACGCAGCGGTTATTTCTGCCTGCAAAGGATTCATTGATTTCATGCAGTCAGTGGTGTCCCCTCCGTTGTAACCCATCTGCGGACTCATGGGTGTGATTCAGCCTTAGCAGCCGATAAGTGGTGTAAACCGAATGGGGTGTTTGTGCTTACATGAAACAGCAAGACAGAGACAGACAGAGAGAGAGAGAGAGAGAGAGAGAGAGTGTGAGCACAGTTGGATCACTTAAATTTATTCTGGTATGATTAACTCATGATGTTTTATTCCATTACACAGCTATCACTGCTGAGGTAAGTTCACAGGTTAAATAAACAGCAAACATCATATAAAAATCACTCAAGCGTGTCAGGATAATGTATGTTATAATCCCAATTACTTGATACTGTGTGCCTGTTATGGCGCTTAGAGTAAAAATCAGATATAAATTACCCTCCCTCTCATAAGCTGCCCTGAGCTCCGGGTGTACAGCAACGAGAACATTAATATGGGTACCACAGGACCTGCTGCTGTTCTGCTTCCAGCATGCGATTCCTTTTAAAGGCAAATGTTGAGTCCCATGTTTCATCAGGTACAACCGAAACACTGTTTATACGGTAAACATACTTACTATGTAAATTTCAAACCGCTATCTGAAAGTTCAACCACACAGAAGCCTCTGTGTTTGATGCAAATGAATGTAGACTGCAAGTACTTAGTTAATTACATTGTTCCTTGTCTGTCACAGCTGCTGTTCCCAGACATGACTGATGGCTAATAGTTTGCTTTGACTGATCCGCCTCATCATTTTCCACCTGTTAAGCTCCTACACTGTAGCTACAGGATGATGTTCCACATGCTGGTTGCTGAGTCTCAGACACACGACTGTCGCTCCACAGTGTCCTGCCTCATCCAAGAGAGCTGTTTGATTAGTTTGGTTGCCTAGTTTCTGTGGCTTGTACAGTTGTTTTTCTTGTTTTGTGTTGGCCTCAGCAAAGATCTAAATTAGGTTTTTGAAGTCTGAAATTGTGTTCTGTTCTTTGCCTTGGAGCTGCAGCTGCACCCGTTCCTTTTAAGTTCAAACTTATTCAAGTTGTCATCTAGGTGTTTACTATGTGGAGAGATTAGTTGTTACTAAATACTGACACCAAACTGTCAGGTGTAATTGTTGCATCATTAACTAAACTCGCCAGCTTAACTGACAAACCTTACATTAGCTCGACTTCTTCAGATTGGAGAGTAAAAGCGGTAAAATGCAAAATGATCAACATATCTGCCGTGAAATGTTGTTTAATAATGATGTTAACTGTGAAAATTGTGTTAAATTATCAGGAAAAATGACTCAGTACACATAAAAATGATAAAGAATTATGCCAATACTCTGACTAAATGACCAAAGTGCTCCAGATACATTAGCACTCTCTCTAAACTGCCTGAATACTACCCACTTGGAAACACACAAATAATCACTACCAACCAATTTACACATTACTCACGTCTTAGCTAAGACATATTTTAAGCTTTAAAGGTACATCCCAACTACCTTATCATCACTCATTTAAGGACTGTACTTACTAACTCAGTGTTGGATTTAGGAATCGAAGCAAAACATTCAAACAAAGACTTTTTGAGTATTTGAGACAATGCACCGAAATCCAATGAACTGTTTTACATCGAGTATCTATGCAGTCTGTAAGAAGCCCATGTCAGTGTACTGAGTAGTGTAGTCCTGCTTACTGTGACTGTCTAATTTTACTATCACACATAATGTACACAGTACACTTTATACTCACCTGTTTTCTTACGTCTATTCAACAAAACATGATAAGCTGCAGGAACCACCCATTGTAAGATACTGATGGGAGGACGGCACATTTGCTCTCAGAAATGTTTAGAAATGTTGTATCCTGCAGCAGCCGACTGCTCAGGAGGTGCTGAAAGCTCCACAGATTCTAAGGATAAGTTAAGTCTGGCCTTCCAAGCATGGTTTCTGTTATTCCAGACGGCAGCTGAAGATCAATACTAACCTGCTCATCAGCCGTCTGACGCCAGGCAAATACACATGTACATGAGGGATATGTCGGACTGGCATTTGGATGAAATCAGATGACAGGGTAAAAGCTGTTCCCACTTTGCTACAACAACCAAGCAACGCACACAGCTGTAAGCTTAAGAGGAATCATGTTGTACTGCAGTCAAGTTGTTCACCCTCAGTGGGAAAAATATCAATCAAATTGATTATATGTTTGATAGTTCTGCCAGGCAAAAACATGAAGCAAAAATCTGGACCAGGGGGAGATTTTTTTTTTGTCTTTGTAGATGCACAAAAGCATCAACCAATGTCAGGTCTCCTGTCCTTAAATTGCAAACTTAAGCATCATTCATTATGCAGGCAAAAACAGATATAAGGGAAGTCTACACAACAAAACAACCAGCTGTGTGTGACATTTCTAAATTACAACACCACAAACAAAAAAGCTGCTGAGTCATTATGTGGGCTGCTAAAAGGCTCAGAAAGAGCTTTTTTTTCCTGTGAGAGGAGAGTAATGGCTGCAAAGCACCACAGCAAACCAGTGTGCAGTAATTAGATTATTCAGTAAGAAAAGTTTTGGATTTCATTTTAAATTAATCACTGGATGATTTCCAAAGTATGAACACTTGTGTTGGAAATGACACATACATTTCCTTTGATGAATTGCGAGTACCTTTGGGAATTTAAGTGAGCATGAGCAGGACTCGCTGCACCCTATTATGAATGTGCCAGTCTCATAGTAATCTGTCACTTTCTCAGTGGAAATTGCTTTGAGCAAAATACCTTATGAAATCATTAATTATATTACACTTGCGCACCTTATAGCACTTTCAAATGATGCATGTCACATTAAAACTTCATCATTAAGTTTATGGGATATATATAACTGTGCAAACTTGGAAATCTGACAGCACACATTTCTGATATTTGTTTGGAGTTAAGTCTGGAACTGACAAGGCCCCCATCATCCCAGACAGCACGACAATAACAGCTGATGAATCTATTCATCTCTCACTCATTCCAACTACAAATCTACCCCGATATCCTCCTCTTCTTCTCCCTCCATCTGGTTCACCCATGCTCCCCATCATCCCTCCCCCAGCCTCTCATTTATCTCTCATTCTACCCCCAAGCTCCAGGAGTCCTTCAGAGGAGGAGAGGAGTCCAATTCAGCTTCACAAGTTGCCGGACAGAGTTCTCTGCAACGCTGTTAAATGGCTAATTTGAAGAAGAAGAGGGAGAGAGAAGATGGACACAGACGTAATAAAAGAGAAAGACGGAAGTAATTCAGGGCTGAATAGTAAATTGAATGATAAGAGTCTAATGGAACCAGTAGGAATTGGAGACTAGGAGAACGGGGACTGCTGTATCAGCCAAATGACTGCTGATCAACCAGTTTCACTCTGGACCACCAGGACACACTGCAGTGGTTTTCAGGCTTTTTCGTCTGGGGACTCACTTTCTATAAAACTTAGACTGTAGAAACTTGCTATAGTCTGGTATAAAGTAACTTTCAAAACAGCCTGGTCATCACTTCAGGGCGGTGAGGGTGGCTACAATAGGATCAGGTTGAGGGAACACAGATTTGTTATGTGTTTTTGCTGCTATGAGAGGTCTGCAGCCTCTAAACTGCAGTTTATAATCATTTGTTTCTAGCAATGGAAGCTGGTGGAACACACAAAACAAGCGTGACAGAAAACTGGGTTTTATTCGTAGAAACTACTGACATCAATGGCATAAATTAGAGGTCAACCATAGATTTACAGTATTACAATTAATTACTTTTAACGCTTGTGGGAAATGCCTTGACATAGAATAGACTGTTCACAAATGTGTCCACACAAAGACCATAACTTGTGTTGTGGGGTCCATGGATAACAAACTGTACGTTTGTGGTTCTGCATTTCTCACCTGCAGTTCTTGCTGCAGTTGTCCTCTGTGATCCCGTCTTCGTCCTCGCCCCAAACGTCCACAGCTGAGAAAATCAGCGCCACCAGTACGGCGAAGCAGCACACCAAGGCGAAGATCACGATGCACTTTTGCTGAGACTGCAAGAAAGAGGAGGAAAGCAACATTGATTTCCAAGGTGTATTTTCTACTCTTCAACACTACTGTAAAAACAAGGCCAAAGTGCCCCAACCTCGGCTCCCATTAGCTGGGTGCTCTGGTTGACACGTCTCCTGATTTAATGCACACCTCAGCAGGTCATAACATGATACAGATGGGAATTTAACACAAACATGTAGAAGGGCCCTGTATGACCTCGCAAATTCAGCCTTTCATATACAGAACACGAGGAATGAGAAGAAAGGACAGAGGAACGAAAGAGAGTAGAGAGAGACAGAAAAGCAAGAGCGAAAACAACGCGATCAATAGAATCTGAACTAAAAGAAAACAACACTTTGTTTGGCATTGGTCTCATCTTAGCCATTAACATTGGATAATTGGATCAAATCCAAATGTTCCCATATGTTAGAGAAGGAAGTAAGGGTCACTGTGTTCTATAAGGAAGGTGATGATGTGAAAGAGACAGATTCACAGCTGTTAGTCATCCAGCAGCTCGCTTCAGTCCATCTGCTTACAGAGTATGTGACCCACAAGTCGACTAACCACGGTTTTTACTGTCATACCTCACCACTCAGTGTAATTGATCAATAAATATCCCACCTATGTGAAAACCCTGAAAATGACTTGATTAATAAGTGAGATTTTTATCAGATTACACAGTGAATGAATGTTGTTATAATTATATTTCTATTTTCTTTTATTCATAAAAATGTAAACGTTGCTGTCTGCACAAAAATCTACTTTCTGCAGCTTCAGTAAAGAGATCTCAGGGTTTGTGTCAGCATTGCTTTGTTTATTTTTATGTTAATCTTCATGATTAACATAAAAATGTGTCTCAACTATTGGTGACCAATTATATGACAGAAAACACTGGAGCTCATCAGCCAAGTAATCCCTCCACCTGCAAGTGGAAGTGTTCCTGCCTCTTACTACAACCATACCCTTGGGGATTTGTAGACATTTAGAGGCAAAGATAGCAAAGAATTGTGCAAAGGTCTCTGTTGCATTGTGTCATCCTAGAAGAGCAAACATACCCGTAGGACACTAAACAAAGGCTTCAGCAGTTTTGGCATGTGGCAGTTCAAGCATTTAACCAAGTCTTTCTCTAACATGAACCAAATGCTTTGAGTACCTAAGCGTAACCATAAAAACATGAATGAATTCTGCTGCAGTTGCTATGGGCACATAAAGAGAAAACAGTCAGTCGTTGTTTTGATATTGATATTTGGCGTTAGATATGTTCTGTGTGAGCAATTTGTGACTTTGCAGATTCATGCAGGTTCATTAACAACATTTCCTCATTATGTTGATAAAAAACAGAAGTTGGTCTGCATTACATAAAACAAGTTCAAATCAGTATCATGTAAATGTAATTTTCTGTGTTTGTTTTCAAACCAGACATTTTGACTTGATATAACTAATAACATAAATTATGGCTGTTTTTCCTGCTCTATCATGTCAAAATGTCTGCTGTGAAAAAGGCCTATTAAATATCTCTGCTTGAGACTTGTGTATTGATCACTACTTGATACTGCAGTCATTACGTTAGTCAGTGGTGTAAAGACAGAAGCTTTCACATTGTTTTGGTCATAACACGACATCTTGTTCCTACATTCAGAAGGTAAACAGCATCATTTGCTATCGTTATTTTAACACTATGTAGTATTTATTTCACTATATTTAAATTTTTAAATATAATGATTTGAAGTCAACACCACAGTAAACTAAGTGTATCTATTGTTGACTCAGGGTGTCCTCACTCATGCTTTCAATATAAGGAGCTGCTAATGTACAATAGATTTGACCCAGTTGCTGGGAAACGCCCCAGCTATTTGTAAAACAATAATAAATGTATCCTGATCCCTTTGAAAAGTGCAAGAAGAGCCAAAACTAATTATCCTTTAACACAGCAGATCATTAGCGCAGTCGGCTAGACTCATTATCCCGGCAGACAAACCCATATCATACATCACTGACCTCTGTGAGCCATACAAACACAAAGCCTGGGTTATTTTAATGCGTTTCTGGTAGCTGAAGACATCCATGCCCATAGGTTCTATTGTGGGAACTAAATTAATCTAGAAGTCAGTCAATGGAGTGTCCCCAGTGGACCACAGAGACACTGGCAGAGATAGTCAGCTTCACATTCTCATCCTCACACGACCATCTGTCTGAGCTGATTTCTGACTTGGTAATAGTGTTTTCTACGTCCTGGTGCGCTGGTGCATGGAATATTATTCCTATATGTGCAGCCACAGTCTGCTCAACCAGCTTGCTTTTGCTGATGTAGCTCATGTTGGCGCAAAGCTACTTTAAAGCGTGACAGCAACATGAAGGTTAAAGTGAATGACCTGCTGACCGTGAGCCAACTGGTTCACATCCACAGACTTAATTGGAAAAATGTAGGTGAGGGGGGAAAAGAAAAGAAACATTCGTCTCTGCCTCTCCTACCATTTAAAAAACCCAGGCACTTAATAAAAGCATACTCTGCAAACACTCACAGGGTAAATTGAGGTTAAATCAAAACTGCCACTCATGCGTTAGACCTTGTGCCACATGTATTGAAATAAAAGGAAGTACAGATGAAGGGTTACCTGCACGAAAATCAAACACTGCATGCCTCTCATATTTCCAGCGATTGTCTACCAGCCGCTGCATTCACATGTGGTCGGATGTGTATGAGCATAATGGCAGATATATAAAGAGGTCAGACTCAAAGTGTGCACTAGGGACAGTGTTACCTGACACTGGAGCACAGTTATGGATCAATACACCTTCAATTACAGGAAGCAGTCTGCCTCACAGTAACTGCTTAGAAATACAAAGACTCTGTTGTATTTGTATTAAATGTAATGGTAAAAAGCAAAAGCAGGAAAACGTAACGGCTACTAGCTTGTCATTTTTCTGTGCTGTGAGCACCACACACAAAAATTATTTTAGCCCAATTGTACATAGGTTGTGATGGAAATCTTGATCCTACAGAGGCTGTATGTGTCTGTCTGTAATTTGGGTGAACTGACCCTTTAACAATGCATATCTGTGGCAAAACACTGCTGCATAGCCTTGGCATATTGCTGCCTCACTGCTAACTGAGCACTGCGACAGTTACTCAGTATCATCACCAAAACAATAACTAAATAAAACATCTGGATCCCACTTGACTCTTTTTCTAAACTAACATCTACAAACTTTATTTTTTTCCTGTGTCAGTGCTTTTAAAAGACAATTAATTACAGTGGCGCATGTTAGAAAATTCCAATTTTCTACCAGAAGCAAAGCTAGTCTTGAGTGACTTGCAAAGGAAGAGTCATAAATAACATGATTTAGAGAGACTGCTCACCAGCTGTTTTAAAAAGCTCTCCAGAGTCCATCTAAAAAAGACTGTGCAAGGTGGCTGGCACCATGCCAGACTCTCACACACAAAAAAAACAAATGCACACTCACTGCTACTGTCTCTCTGCTTGCACATAAACATGACAGACAGAGGTGAAGGCCAGGCCAGAGAGGTTGGATGTTTAAATATCCTCAGATCAGAGGGAGAGGTTTTAAACAGAGGCTGTCTGCCCTTCTCTCTGCAGCTCTTTGCCAAACCTCTCAGTTGTTTAAACTCTGCTCTTCGCTATGCTGAAGGACTGGCACATTCTGCTCATCTACAAGTGAGATAGAAAATGTACTTCACAGAGTTTGAGAACAGACAGTGTGGTTATTGTCTATATTAGGCTCTATTTTTCTAATGTCCCAGTGTTTTTGTGCCGCTATATCAACTTATAGTTGGTGAAGCAAAGCAGACGGACACTCAAAACATTGCAGCGAGCTGACGGTTTATGAACATAAGTCATATGGCCCCTGTGGCTTTGGCAGCGCATTTAATGAAATTTTAAAGTGCACCTACAGAGAAACAGAATGAGTTTCTCCACATTAGAGCCTGAGAAAAGTGTCAGAGGCCCAATTATCCTCTTATGAGCGTTTCCCCTTTGTCAAGGCATAGTGAGAACAAGGAGCCATGCTGCTCAGAGGGAAAGAGAAGTTTACGCCACACCAACAGTGCAAAAGAAATTTGGGTGAACTATCAACATTACCCGTGATGTAATTTGTCTAATGAGTGGTTAGAGTGCTGCAGATGTTGTGTGAATGCAAAGAGGACGGGTATACAGCACAAGATCACCTCAAGCCTGGCGGCAGGATGGGTTTTACCAGGATTACTGCTGATGTAAAAGCTGATGATCTCAGTAAACCCTGGAAAAAAGATGTAATCATGGGAAAATTCTCCTGTTGTAAATGCAAGACTTACTGTAGCTCCTCCACCTCATATATTGACCCTGTACCTTCAACATTTTTTAGCAGGTGTTTGACAGAGCTCGACAGAAAAATACATCTCTATTCTTCAAGTTTATTTTTCACTTCCTGTTTTATTTTGGTGTGTCTAACCTTCCCCTCTTGTTTTAGCTTACGCTTCCTGCCATTGTGTGTTTCCCACTCCTGTGATTGTCGACCCCGCCCCTAATGTGTTGCACCTGTGTCCCAGTGTCTTCCCCTCTACTAGTGTATTTAGTCTGCGTGCTTCCTGTCTTCGTTCTCTGTAGCAATCTCTTCGTGTTTAGCCTCTGGTGTTTTGACCAGTTTCTTCTGTGACCTCGAGTTTAGTCTTACCTTTGTTTGTCTGACCTGTCTGTCTACCTGTGTCCCTACCCTGCTTTTATTAAAGGCCCTACCTCTGATCTTCCTTTGTGAGTCCTGCATACTGAGTCTGCATCCAGTGGTTGTGTAAGTATTGGCTGATATCCAACTCTTATCCTCTTACACCTCTTAGATCTTGATATCCTAATCAATCATCTGGAAAAGTTGCGTTAAACTGGTTCAAAATGTACATTGAAGGGAGAAAGTTTAACGTCTGTCTTGGCGATCATATGTCTGAGATCTGCTATGGGGTTGTTCAAGGGAACTGTCTCGGTCTATTACCATTCTCACTGTACATGCTGCC